TTTATTTTTGGTTCATGTCCAGAAGGGTGTGACCATTTAACAAAGTTAATCCAGCTCCTCTTTTAACAATGAAACCGAACGATTATTCTTCGCTTCGTTGGGCGTTAACCTTGCATTTAGGAAACAAAATATAAAGGTTAAAGCCAAACTGTTATATTTTATTCTTATTTAGGCAGAGTGATTAACGAGTTTATGTGCTATTGCTACTTTGTTTATGAGGCTATATGACTATATTTTTAGGAAAATAATACGGCTTCAAATAATGACTGAGACGTGAGTGAAGGTATGAGAATACACTAATGAAATACCTTTCAAATAAATAAAAATTAGTAAATACCCACGAGGTTTCATAAAAATAGAATGTGCTTTGGAAGTTTACTAAATGTATGGCATAGTTACATGTTAATGGGGAAGCATGTAAAATTTATTTAATCTTTAACTAATTTTTAATCTTAAGCTCTCTAAGCATTTTATCATAAGTTACAAATTTTAAAGTTTATTTAAAGTACAGTGTGACAACAAAAACGGATCAACCTGAATAATTTTTGATCTAATGAGCGGAATGAATGCATTAAAAAAAACTTTAATTGTTTTGTTGAAAAAATGGATCAACCTGAATAATTTTTGATCTAATGAACGGAATGAATGTATAAAAAAAAACTTTAATTGTTTAGTTAAAAAAACGGATCAACCAGAATAATTTTTGATCTAATAAACGGAATGAATGCATCAAAAAAAAACTTAAATTGTTTAGTTAAAAAAAACAGATCAACCTGAATAATTTTTGATCTAATGAGCTGAATGAATGCATCAAAAAAAAAACTTTAATTCTTTAGTTAAAAATTTTAATTTAAAACTTATTTCCTGCGTGAATTTTAGACGTTCTGAATATTTATTCTGACAATAAAAAAGACAGTACGATAATATTTTGTAATGAATTGGATAAGATTTATCTTTTTAATGCTACCTCGTTTATGTTATTAGCCCTAATGACATCAATAAAATGACAAATGCTGTAAATCTAAATCGAATAACATTTACCATTCTAAATCTAGAATCTTAATCAATCTATCGTTGAAGTGTTATTTTCTACAAGACACACTTATTAGTAAGAGTGAGTCAAAACAAAATGGACCACTCTGATTAACTTTTGATCTAATGATCGGATATTTACGTTACATGACTCGATCTTAATGGTTCGAGAGGGTAACCTCAGATATGCTAATTACTTAGTGCAGACGATATTTTAAGTTACGAAATCAGACACAAAAACGTACTTTCTCTAAATAAACGTACTTTTTTTTCCTCCAACAGATTCAGATTTCCGACCCCCAAGATAAAGATAGATGTAATCTTGAAAATATGTTCGTAGTAGTTTGGTCTAAGTTTTGACCTATTAATGATAATTTTACTTTTTGCGTATTTTGCCATAGTTCAAGATCTTTATAATCGAATTGAAATTTTTTTCACAAAATTATGAAATTTGTTTGTCCAAAAATGATTATGCGGAAAAAAATTTTTTTTCTGAAATATTTATTATTTTTTATTGCTTTATATAATAATAGTCGAAAAAATTTCGAATTGCAAGGTTTAATTTTTTTTTTTACATAAATTCAATGCGTGTAAATTCACATGGCGAAATACAAAATTTGAGGGAATCGATCGAACAGCTCCTGAGAAATCGAGTTTTAAAAGAGTCGTATAGTTAATAATCGTATATTTAAATTTTGCGAAATACGCAAAATGAATAATTAACATTGAAGGGTCCAAACTTTGGATCACTCTCCTGACGAAACTAAGGAGACCATACTTTACCCCTTATATTTTAGGGATCAGAAATCCGAATCCGTAAAAGAAAAGTTATGTTTATTCAGAGAAAGTACGTTTTTGTGTCTGGTGTCATAACTTAAAATATCATCGAAATTAATTAATTAACATATTTGAGGTCTCGATCGAGTCTTTGAACGTAAAGATGCCATCACTAAATCAAAAGTTAATCAGGGATGTCCATTTTTTCTTGGCTCACTCTTAGTTATAAGTGTGTTTTGTAAACGATAATACTAACGAAAAGATAACATTGACATTGTGGTTTAAGGAAGCAAAAATATAGTTTAATAATAATATAAATTAGTTAAAGTTGTTATATTTAATTCTTATTTAGGTAGAGTGATTAACGAAGGTATGTGTTATTGTTCTTTTTTTTGGCTTACTGTTCAACAAAGTTGACCATGTGAGAGAAATTAACCTTATAGTTTAAGGAAGCAAAGTATATTAGTTAAAACTGTTATATTTAATTTGTATTTAGGTAGAGTTATTAACGAGTGTATGTGTCATTGCTACTTTATACACTCTATAACAAAAAAATCGAGGCACCATGAAGGAGTTGTCCGATTGAAACGAAAATTAATGGATAGGAAGACAATGTACAGAATAGTAAATGATTAAAATTTCAGAACAATTGAATAATTTATTGCAGAGTTACAGTAACAAGTTCAATTAGGTGTTGACCCGCCTCTAGCCTGGATACAAGCTGCTACACGGCGTGGCATAGACCGATAAAGCTCCCGGATGGTCTCTTGCGGTATTTCCTGCCAAATTCGATCCAATTGTCGAACAAGGTCATCAACATTCCGTGCCAGATGCAATCGCCTTCCCATTATATCCCAGACATGCTCGATGTTAGAGAGATCTGGTGATCTGGCAGGCCAAGGAAGAGTTTGACAAGCTTGCAGACAGTTCATAGCAACACGTGCCGTATGTGATCTGGCATTGTCCTGCAGAAAAACCAGCCCATGGAGCTGCAAAAGGAACGGTAGCAAAACAGGTCTTTGGATGTCGTCGATGTACCGCTGTGCAGTAAGTGTACCTCTCATGACGACCAAAGGGGTCCGGCTGTCAAAGGAAATGGCACCCCAGACCATAATGCCTAGTTGAGGGCCGGTGTGGCGTGCAATAGTGAAGGCACAGGATCCCTCCTCTGCTCTCTACGTCTCCAAACACGCTTGACACAATGATCGTCAGGACACAGTTGGAAGCGGGATTCGTCGCTAAAGACTATAAGTCCCCAGTTGGCCATATCTGTTTAAAACATTCGTGCATACGAAATTTCAAAGCAATCGGATGATTGCTTCTTGGTGCTTCGATTTTTTTTTGTTATGGAGTGTATATAAGACTGTCCATTTTTAAGAAAATAATACAGCTTCAAGAAAGACTGAATCGAGAGGGAAGACAATAGAATATACTAATGCGATGCTTGACAAATAAACTACAAATAGTAAATTACGCGTGACATTATAAAAATATCACGTTCTTATATGCTAACTAAACAATGAGCATATTTTAACCATATAGAATTACATAGACTACAATTAACATTAAAATGGTGTTTTTAAAACGTTACACATCCCAAGTAGTTACTAACCCTGTAATTTAATAGGAGCTAAATGAAGCTGTTCTTTTTATCATACATTCTAGCGAACAAACTTGTGTAAGGTTATCTTTCGATTTTGAGTGGAAAAATATGTAAATTTGAAATTTTGATTTCACTTTTGCAATGTTATTTCTGTTATTGTAATAACTTACTACATATTTTTAAAAAATTTTCTTTTCTTCCTTTAAAAATGATTGGCCTCTTTAATTGTATTTCTAATAATTAATTTTAATACGATACTACTAATAATGTGTTGGGATATCTGAGGACAAAGATAAGCCACGTTTTATAATGTATCAACACCACGACAAAAAAATGTCTTGATATTTTGTGCTGGTGTGTAGTGGAAATTTAAAAAATTATCAAAATTTTTTATGGTGGTAAAAATGAACATTTGACGCAAGTCGCTTTTAGAAAATGCTTCAAAAATACACTATATTTCCTATTATATAGCCTATAAATGTAAATACCCTATAATTCTGGTAGAATTACCGTACTATATGGCTATGAAATTTCTGAAAAAAAGGAAACAACTATAATTCTGGTATTAAAAACCAAAATATTAGGTATTTAAATCATTCATTTGGTAAGTTTTCCGTTCATATGGTAACGTATACAGGAAATTAGGGATTATGAAATTCTAGCTCTTAATACTTCACATTTAGTAAAAAAATACGAAACTAAAAAGTAAATGTAACCGAATGAATGATTTTAATGCCACGCTCTAAAGTATCATGATAAATTACCAGATTTTATCACATATTAGAAAACAATATTTTAGTTTCAATTTTGCTAAAATCATGACGAAGAGCTTCGGCAAAAATTACCGAGATTTTTGGTGTTCCCATAGAGCTAGAAACGCTGTAAATTATGCCATATTTTGGTAGTTTTGATTACACTTTTTTTTCTCTGTTTGCTAAATATTACCTACTTGATTACTACTACTTTTAATTCTACCATATTCTGGTAGTTTTGGTAATGCTTTTTTTCTCAGTTTACTAAATATAACCTACTTGATTACTACCACTTTTAATTCTACCATATTCTGGTAGTTTTGTTTACACTTTTTTTTCTCAGTTTACTAAATATTACCTACTTGATTACTACCACTTTTAATTCTACCATATTCTGGTAGTTTTGGTTATACTTTTTTTCTCAGTTTGCTAAATATTACCTCCTCAATTATTCGATTACTACTACTTTTAATTCTATCATATTTGGAAAATTTTGATTTGACATTTTTTTTTCTCAGTTTGCTAACTATTATCTCCCCAATTACTAATACTTTCTGGAAAAGTTTCAAAAGTTTGCGTTCAAAATTCTGCATAATTCATGGAGACGAATTGTGACAACGGCCACACCTGATATCAACAGACAATTATAAAATAAAACCTTTTTAACTCCATCTAGAAAGGTTTAGTCACAAAAAGTCACTATAATTTGCGTCTAGGAGTACGTTCCATGTAAGTATTCGCTGAGAATACAAACTTAAAATTAAATGTTGGGTACGCTGTTAAACATTTAAATTTTAAGTTTGTAATAACAATTTAAATGTTGGTTCAATTTTTAGGTCTGAGTGGATCTGCAGGAGACTTGGCTCGCCGGAAGGAAGTGTTTGGTGCCAATATGATTCCCCCGAAACCCCCAAAGACGTTCTTGCAGCTGGTGTGGGAGGCTCTGCAAGACGTTACACTCATCATCCTACAGGTGGCGGCAATTGTTTCCTTAGGTCTCGCCTTTTACGAATCATCATCCGAAGAAACACCAGGTAATTATCAACTGTTAGCTATCTAGATAAAAACAAGTGCATTGCACAAAGTAAAAAAATGAAACACTCAGAATAACTTTTGATTTAATGATCGCACGTACTAGGTCATCATACTAGGAATGATCACGCATAATCGGCGTACTAGAACTCAATTTTAATTACTTAAAGGCCTAATAATTATATATAATAATTTACCAACCGGGTTCAAATCCCAGCGATAGCTAGTCGATACAAATTCCGCTCCCGGCTAACACCGACCACAGTGCTGGAGTAAAATATCCTCAGTGGTAGACGGATCGTGTATTAGAGTCCCCTTGCTGGCAGGATAACCATGGGAGGTTTTTGTGGTTTTTTTCTGCATGTAACGCAAATTTGGGTTAACAAATACCATCAAAAAGTCCTCCACGATGGTAAATTTCTCCTAATACTTGACCCAGGAGTTCCCTTATCTTCTGGATTGGGTTGAAAATTACAAGGTTACGGAGGTGAACATCAGTAGTCGCAAATCCTATATTAGGTCAGCTATTCAATGACGGTTATAAAATACACCGAAGAGCCATTACATTATGACCACTCTGCTAATAACATGTAGGACCACCTTTAGCCCTCAAAACTGCTAGCACCCGCCGTGGCATTGAGTCCACAAGGTGCTGACAGGTAGTCTGAGGTATCTGGTACCAAGCACTCACCAACTGGTCCTGTAAGTCCCTCACATTGCGAGGAGGTAGCGTGGTAGCACGAATTTGGTTTTCCAAGTAGGATCACAAATGCTCTGCTGGATTAAGGGAAGCAAGACGTTTTCGATGTCGAAAAAATTATTTTTTCAACCATATCGACAAGCAATTTTTTCTTAATATTAAATACATTTTAAAACTTTAAACTTTACATTTATGAAAACTACATATTAATATCATTCAATAACAATAAAAAGGAATTTAAGATGTTTATAAATTTAATTTTTATAAATATTTGAAAATTTAATGTATATATAATTTTTTTTTAACCAGACATAGCTTTCGGTACGCTCAAAAAATTTTCTACATGAAATATCAACAAAAAATTGGCATACACTCATGTAAATATGTTTGAAAAATCAGGTGAACTAGTTTGTTTTATAATATGTACAGAATATATTATATCTAAGCAAAATAAATGTTGCATTTCTGAAAAAAATGCAAAATTTCGTTCAAATTTTGAAAAACTTCCCCTGTATAACAACATTATAATGAAAAAAATACACTTTATATAGTTAATTAAATGTAAATAAGGTATATGTACAAGCATAGAAATTTTCACAACTTTACAATTATTTGTTTTTTGTACGAGCGTACCGAAAGTTATGTCTGGTAAAAAAAAAAATTATTTACATTAAATTTTTAAATATTTATAAAAATTAAATTTATAAACATCTTAAATTCCTTTTTATTTTTATTGAAAGATATTAATATGTAGTTTTCATAAATGTAAAGTTTGAAGTTTTAAAATGTATTTAATATTAAGAAAAATTTGCTTGTCGATATGGTTGAAAAAATCATTTTTTCGACATCGAAAACGTCTTGCTACCCTAGGTTAGGTGAATTTGGGGGCCAAGACATGACTTGAAAGTCACTAGAATATTCCTCGACGATTCGACCCTTATGACATGGTGCATTATCCTGTTGGTAAACACCATCCCCCGCAGGAAAAACAGTTGCCATGAATGGGTGGACCTGATCTGCAACTATGTCCAAGTAGCTTACAGACGTCAGGGATTGTTCTATGAGGATTATGGGTCCTAATGTGCCCCATGAAAACATTGTTCCTGGGCGAGAAATAGATATTTTATTTAGATATTTAGTTAGATATTATCTTTAATTAGATATTTAGATATCTTAATTTAAATTTAACATTTTGCGCATTTTGCCATATCTCGAGAACTGTCATATCGCAATCTGTCACATAGTTTCTGAGTTATCAAGTTTTAAATAAAATCACAAATTTATCATTTTATTTCTCGATAATTATTCGACCGACTACGCTTCACTTTTCCATTTTCTCAAAAAAAGAAATTACATTTTTCAAAAGGATCCAAAATGATGTAAGCAATTTTATACCTTAAGATTCGAAACTTTTTCATTATTATTAAATAAAATTATAAATTTTTATAAACTAAATTTATTATTACAAGATTTTTTCGATTCGCTTAGAAGGTTCTCGAGATATGGCGAATTACGCAAAAAACAAAATTAAGATTCAAGCGTTCGAACTTTTGTCTGCTTTCCTGACCAAAGTATACCTTAATAAGGAGGAACCATATTTCACAGATTTTGGCTATCTCCATATTTTTAGGGTCAACAATCCTAATCCGTCGCAAAAAAGGTATGCTTGTTCAGAGAAAGTACGTATTTTGATTTAATTACTTAGAATATCGAAATATCAACTGCACTAATTAATTAGCACAGTTGAGATCAGGCCTTTGAAACATTAACCTTGATTCTTTGTTCGAGAAAATCCAGTCATTAGATCAAAAGTTATTCAGTGTCTTCCCTTTTTTATTTTGAGGACTGTATCAGATCGAATAAACATCAACAGTCTAACTCTCTATCAGGGTGACAAAACATCAGAATTCTACTGACATACAAAATACTGATGACAAAATATTTCAGTAATAAATAGTGTCAAAATGTTATTGACGTACAAAATACACAAAATACTAATGAAAAAATATTTCCGTGATAAATAGCAACAAAATTCTATTAACAAATCATTCTAGTGATAAGTAGCATCAATATTCTAATAATGTACATTACTGATTTTTTAACAATTTGTTCTAAGAATCAGAATTTTTATCAAAATTAAATTCAATTTTTATTTAAAGACCAGTAAGTTAATTTCTGTATTTTCTTATGCTACAGATCATGGTTTGGAACTTTTTAAAATATTGTTTCCTATGGAAAAGGAACTTGATTCATTGGATCTATTAAAACCAATCGCATATTGAACCGATAATGATCAATATAGTTTCACCAAAAATGAATAATGGATATATTGCATGCCTGATTTATTCCAATTGTATTGCGGTGGGGAAAGTTTAAGTGTAAATAGTAAGAGAATGATATTGTAATCACAATTGTATTTGTAGGAAAAATTTAAAGTAGTATACAGAAAATGTGATATAAAATTTTTCGGCATATTAATAGAGCACCAAGATATTTGAAGTAAGCGAAGATAGCTCCTTCGAGATACTAATATTTTATTAAACATATTTACATTTATATACAAGTTGGTTCGATTTACAAGAAGCATCATCACAGCAGGTGATGAGAGAAATACTGACAGGCTGTCATGTGCGTGCTGGTATTTATACAATTCTAATATGATGACGTCAGAACTCTTATTTCAGTTCACTTCAAAAATAAGTAAAAACACAATTGATTAAAGACAAACAGATAACAATATGAAATAACCTTGATTTTACGATGAGCGGCGAACCTATCACCACATATTATATTTTTGTTTCTAATATATAGAGCTCCCTTATATAAACACTTATATTAGTAAGACACAACAATATATTTTAACGATTTCCTTTTGTTTTATTATGCATATATCATAAATATGTAGGCATGCTTTAAACAATTTCATAGAAAAATAAAATAGATGATTTATAAGAAAACCATTTCCTTGCCAAGAAATTAAAAACTTTATTGTTATACAAAACTGAAGAAAAAATTTACAATAAAACATTCATTTTAAAAGTGAACATTAATGATTTTTTAAACCTGTATTTATATTTATATCCAAACAATAAATTATAATTATTCGATATTTTAGTTATTTTAGAAAATTCTCAAACTAAAATTAAAAAAACTGGCCATAATATAGCAAATAGTTTTATAAAAAATATTTCTTCCATTAGCAATACACATTGAATAAATTACGAAAAGGATGTGAATTTATAAAAAATTGCATCAGTATTTACCATCAGTATTGCATTAGTTCCTCTGATCCATACGGTTCCGTGGAAGGATCACATATGTTCCGAGAGTTAAACATTTTTTATTAACATTGATGATTTTTGAAACCAGTATTTATATTTATATCCAAACAATAAATTATAATTTATTTAATATTTTAGTTATTTTATGAAATTATTTTGAAAAAACGGCTATAAAATACCAAATTGTTTTATAAAAAATTATTTCTTCAAGTAACGATATACATTGAATAAATTACGAAAAGGATGTGAATTTTACGAAAAATTGCATCAGTATTTTCTCATCAAAACTTTCAATTCAAAATAAAAATGACCAAATTCTAGAAAAAAAAATTATATTTCTCTGATAGTCATTCTCAACAGTAACAGATATTTGTCTTAACTATAATTCAACGTATTTTATTCGTTTTTAGAATATGCATTTACCAAAAACCAAATTCAGAACTAGACTACTCGATGCCACTCCAGGTTTGTGAATTCAACTACCTGACATGAAATTTATAGTTTTAAGACTATTATTCATTTCATTCTTCTCATTAATTACTATCAAAACAAATAACAGTCTTTCTTTGGTTAATATATTCATAACAGCTAATAGATTCTATATATAAATTTGGGGTTCAACCAAAAGATTCTCTATCATTTAGGGTTCCATAGCTAAAATAAACAAATAAATAATTAAATAAATAAGTAAATAAATAAATAAATAATTAAATAAATAAGTAAATAAATAGATAAATAATTAAATAAATAAGTAAATAAATAAATAAATAAATATAGGGTCTGCTGAGCTGCCATGCAATTGAAAAAACAACATAAATGCTTAATGCTTCCGAGAAAAGTTGCTTGACAACTTCCTTCTATTGCTAATGCTAAACTAAACTAAACTCAGAGCTCAGTGGCATAGAGGGCCAAAGCCTACTGTGCCCATCTCTGTTTTCTTGACCTTGGGCTCTGGGGTGCAGGAGCAGATGTTCCGGTCAGGTGGTCAGCGAACGCGGAATCCCCAGTGTTTAGTTCCCAAGCATGCTTGGTACTCATTTATCGACCCACTGAAGGGATGAAACGCTGAATCAACCTTGTCCGGCCCGAGGATCGAACCAGGGACCTGTGGCACTACAGCGCGAAGCGCTACCGCTCCGCCACCGGACTATTGCTAATGGACTATACCCTAAAATAAAATTTCAAAAAAACTGATAAAACAAAATCCATTTTTGAAAGAAATTTTTTGTAGTATGTAGTAGTAAAAATGCCAAATGCACAAAAATAACAATTTTGAATTTTTTTGAAGCTTGCACTGGTTTTTCAATTGTTCGCCAGTGCTCTAGTTAATACATCCGCTGGATATTAAGGAGTATTAATTCTAGTATACAAATATTCATTGTATGTCCCTAGCCTGATAATATCTTCAAAATTTTCTCAGAAAATTTTTTAAAACTTTTTTTCCTGTTTTAGCTTATTTCTAATTCATTTTCAGTTAAAGTTTTTTTAATCGTTTCTTTCTCATCCTGTAATTGTGTATTTAGTCTCAATCTTTTTGTATTCATTGTCTTTGTATTCATAATGTATTTGTATTCTTAGCCAATCGGCAGTGCTACGGCAGTGCTCTAGTTAGTATCGCATACATCCGCTGGATATTAAGGAGTATTAATTCTAGTATACAAATATTCATTGTATGTCACTAGCCTAATAATATCTTCAAAATTTTCTCTGAAAATTTTTTAAAACTTTTTTTCTTGTTTTAGCCTATTTCTAATTCATTTTCAATTAAAGTTTTTTTTTCATTGTTTCTTTCTCATCCTGTAATTATGTATTTAGTCTCAATGTAGCCTATTTCTAATTCATTTTCAATTAAACTTTTTTCCTGTAATTATGAATTCAGTATGTATCCTGTAATTATGTATTCAGTATGTTTCCTGTAATTATGTATTTGTATTCACAATGTATTTGTATTCACATCCAATCATTTAGCGGAAGGACATGACGAAGGAGAGAGCGAGGCTGGTTGGATCGAGGGTGTTGCCATCCTAGTGTCGGTGATAATCGTGGTGCTGGTGACGGCCTTTAATGACTACACCAAAGAAAGGCAGTTCAGGGGGCTCCAGAACCGCATCGAAACCGAGCACAAATTTTCTGTGATAAGAGGGGGAGAGGTCATGCAAATCTCTGTCAGCGACATTGTAGTCGGTGATATATGCCAAGTCAAATATGGTAGGTCAAAACTCTTTTTATTTATTTTTATAGTTCATTACTAGCTGGTTCATGACCTATATGATTAATGAAATTAGCTATTTATGAGTGCTTTTAGAGCAGGGGTTTCCAACTTACACGAGGCCGGAGGCCACAATTAAAAACACAAATCAAATGGCGGGCAGCAACTTTATCAAAATTTTAGGTAGGATTCTTTTATGTTTGCAGGAACATTAAATATTACTGTCAGATTCTTACCAAGTTGTAGAAAACACAGTATATCTAGCTGTTAAGATATAAAACTTTAAGAAGGTTGGTATTAAAACTAACGTAAGAGCACACAAAATGTTCAATGACAAAATTGAGGTTTGTCTGTTGCAACCACCAGAGAGTAGATATTTAAATTTTAAATTTAAAATTTACAAATGTGAGTAAATATTTTCGTCCAAAATGAGTGGCTTCAAAAAGTTCAATTGGACAATTTCTCCGAGAAAATTTCTGCTAAATTATGCTAAATTATATTCACGAACGATACACGATTATTTTTGTATTTGAATAAATATTTTCTTGGATACAAAACCTGAGAAAAAATTTTTTTTGCACCGTTTGTATGATAAATTTCACAGAAACGAAGAAATTAGGGTTTTATCGACGAGAAAAGTATTTTAAACTTCTATAGATTTTTTACAAAAATTGTCCGCAAAAAAGTGACAACTAATATATTTTAGTTCACGGCCCACAAAAAAAGGCTTCGCTGGCCGGATGCGCCCCCCGGGCCTCCAGTTGGAAACCACTGTTTTAGAGTATGTCACTCCTTTCGAATGTTCCAATATCTGTTAAGTATTCATTCCTGCTCTTAATCTGTGCCAACCAATGTTTCGTCTTCAAAAAACTACTGCTTCTGTTAGAAGACTGGTTAAGTTGGCCTTTTTATATAGCCTTATTTTTTATCTAACGTTTTTTAGCTTTCTTTTTTAATGCACGAGTTTAGTTTTGTTTTTTAATGTACATTTTAATGCACACTCCTTAGTGATACATGAATAATCATACATACTATTTCAATCAATTTTAAATTTGTGAGTGAAAGTTGGATATATGTGATTGCCTTAACATTATGATTATGCCATGATAGCGAATAATCTTTGAAAGTGCCTGAAAACCCTCACACATGGAGAATATGAGAAAGCTGTTGGAGGATATCATGGGAATTGAATTAATTTTAAAAAATAAGTGTCGTTTCATTCAAAAAATTTTATTCACTTAGAATATCATCTATTTGTGCTATTTTCCCGGCCCATTATTTGTTATCAGTAAGAATGAAACATGAATGGATTTTTCATGTTATAAATTACATTTAACAATTCATTGATCTCATATTGCAATGAATTAAAATCATGACTGCCGCCATGCAATAGCCCATTATAGGACATGATAGTCATAGATTTTAAGGGTCCTAACAATTTCATGACTAATAACATGAAATTGTGGAACTGTAACATCCATGGTGTTAGCTGTGTGGTTATCATTGTCCAACAGCTGTCTCATTTCTCAGACTACTACGTGCCTATCGATAAAGCTGGAAAGCTTTATGATGCCACAGGATATTGAACCCCAGACTTACACAATGAAAAGCCCAGCATCTTAACTACTGTGTCATCATGGTTCTTGCAAGGAATTAATTGAGTTTTAAGATGTATTGAGAAAAAGTTAAGTCTATAAAGTCAATTAAAATGTAATTTAATCATAAGTTTTTAGGTATAAGTAAATAAAGCACATATCTATATTTTTTCTTCTGGAAGAATTTATTCGCCAATAAATTGGGACATGCTAGTAAGGTATGTCTTATTTTTCTTTTTGGCAAAAAATTCGTAACAATTTAATAAATTTAGGACTTAGTTTCAGATCAAAGGAAGATACACAACTAAATTTGTACTTATATACATTTGCGATACAGCTTTACGAAAAAGTTATACTATTTCATCTAACGTGAGTGGTACATCTTGAGAAGCGGACGGTATGCTTACCAGACAAAAAAAAATCAAGTCAACTTTGGATTAATTATGAAAATCATAATTCAATACCATGTAACCTAATCTTTACTTTCCGCCTTGTTTCGGTTAAAAAAGAAAAACTCAAGATTTTCCTGTTACATTGCATCAAGTTTAAGTTCCTTGCGTGGACTCGCTTAGGACTTACAAATCCCACAAATAGCAAGAATTCTGATTTCTGCGTTTTATTAATTGTTTCAGATTTTGTGATTATACAAAAGATTTTGTGATTATACAAAAGATTTTGTGATTATACTTCGCAGATTTTGTGATTATACAAAGCAATCGAAATGTATTATGATGCATGAATGTTTATAAAACCAGTCATGTATTCCTTCATCCTGATCTCAGCCATTGCTGTTGCCTGCTGAAAAGTAAAGATGCGAATAGGTAACTCAACATAAAGATTTTGACTGAAAGGCAACTACTGATCTTATGATCATGTTGAATATTAAAATAAACATGCAGATTAATGCAGTCAATGGTTAACTCAGTAAATGAGCTGAATCCATAATAAGATATTTCAATCCCTCCCTCTCTTAAAAAGGGTGTTTTGGTCTATATAATTAACTCGTAGCACGATAGGTCATCCAGGAGAGATGACGTAAGTTTGCGCTTACAATGTCCTGTTTAGAGACCCTTCGTGACATTTACCAAAAACAGAATAGAATAAGTGCAAGTCATTGTACCTTATAATTAATAGTTTCTTGGTGGTGCATAATTAATAGAAATAAGTATTTAAGTGCAATAGTCCATGTCTTTTTTCACCCCAATTTATAATAATAAAAAAAACTTTTGTACGATTTTTCTATTTTTCTATACGTCTTTAGTTTATCGCATGCTTTCCCACTGACCACAGTACTAACATAAAATATCCTCAGTGGTAGACGGATCAGGGGATAGAGTCCCCTTCTCGTTGGGCTAACTGTGTGAGGTTTTCGTGGTTTTCCTTATCCATGTAAAGCAAATCCAGGTTAGTTCTATCACAAAGTCCTTCACGATGGTCAGTTTCTCGCAATGCTTCATCCAGGAAATCCTTTGTCTTCTGGATTGAGTTCAAAATTGCAAGGCTACGGGGTTGAACATTGGTAGTCTTAAACTCAGAATTGGGTTGGCTGTTCAACCCTAGTTATAAAATATAAAATTTTGGTTTGATAAGTTTATAATCGTTCCACATGAAGTTAGCTGCATATGACGAGCGAATAAAGTCAAAATGAAATTAACAGTTTCTGTTCCCATTATCAACTCATTTCACTCGGAATCTCTCTTGCAATATCAGGTGTCAGCGTCCATTCTTGTAGAAGATTCTCGAGAAAAGAAGAATTCAAGATTCTTTACAATAACAACTGAATGCTTTAACCACAGTGCCATCGTGACGCATTTACTTTGTGCTTAAGACATATGACAACCAAAGATCAGTTCAATCTGTGCAAAATATTAAAAAATGATTGTTTACTTCAATCACTAAAAGTTTTTGTTGCAAAAAGGCTGTAAACATTTCGCCACTGAAAATGTTTTACTTTAATAACAATGTCAAGTTTCTTGACCACAATTTTTCTTAATTTTTCACTTCACAAAATTTTCAAATGAAAGCACGTACAAAATTATTTTTTTTTAAAAAAATCACCCTGCTTACTACAATTATTTTATTTACCTTTTAAAATAATTTCTCTCACACTAATCTAAACCATTCATTTGGTAATTTTTCCGTTCGTATGGAAACGGTTTACCAGAAGTTCTGGTACTCGAAATTATAATTCTTATTACTACATCTTTAGTGAAAAATACAAAACTAAAAATTCAATTTAATCTGAATAAATGGTTTTAATGCCCTGCTCTAAAGTTTCGTGATAAAATTACCAAATTTTATCACCTATTATAAAAAGTGTAATTTTTTTTTATTCGAATTGAAATGGTTTACCAAAAATTCAGGTTTTCGAAATTAGTTCTTATAACAACATCTTCGGTGAAAAATACAAAACCGAAAATTAAATTTAACCCAAATAAATAGTTTTAATTCCCTGCTCTAAAGTGTTCTGATCAATCTACCAAATTTTATCTCATATTATAAAACCATAATTTATTGGTAATTTAACCGAAATCATTACCAAAATATTTCGGTAAAAATTACGAAGATTTTGGTGTTCCCATAGAACATGGTAAGCTTTATCATTTTCTTGTAGTCTGGACCATTTTTTTTAGTAGATATTTAGTTTTTTGAAGAAAAAAAATTCGACAAAAAACTCATTGTCTTTGTTTTAATTCACGAAAGAAAAAAAATGAAAGTTATTATTTAAACAATAAATACACTTTTCAAAAACTAGAATTGTTTTAGTTTTAATTTTGTCTTTTTTTTTCACTCTTGCAAATGTGTGTTTGATCTTTTTCGATGTTAGGTTAACTAATCAAACTTTGTTTGAAAGGCGGTTTACTTTGCACTTTTCTTGGAAATTCAATTTCAAGTTCTGAAATAGCAGTTATTCTAAGTTCAAATAAATGGGACAAACTTCTTGAAGAAAGGCTATTTCTCACCCGAAAAAAATCCAGACAGGTAAAGAAAAATAAATAGAAGAGTTCCTTTAAAATAACTTTAAAAGCTGTTTTGACATAAAATTATCAAATAAAAATCAATCATCTTAGCCCTAAAATAACAAACATATTAGAAAAAATTGTGAAATATGTATGACATGAAAAAATAAATGAAACTTGCAAAGTTTTTCTATCTCTTAAGAGTTTCACACTTTATTCTTGAAACTTTCAGGTGAGAAAATAAAATTTATTTTGTCTTTTCTTACTTTAGAGTAATTCACTTTACAAACTTATATTTATTGAAAGGTATATTTAAGATTTCGGTTGCTTTCATTCAATATTTTAAAGACTTGTTTATTAGTAAATAAAAGAGAAACTTTATTGGTTCATTATAAAATTTTTTATTTTATTTAATTTAACGGAATCATGTAATTGATCTTGTGTCACGTTTTACTATCCCAATTTTTTAGTAAACAGTTTAGAGATACAACATGCTAATAAACGAAACATTAAAGATTGCTCTTAAATCAGAATACAGTTTTTTTTTTAATTTACTGGGATTCATGCTTTTAAAAAAAATTATCAAAATACCTCAAGTTACCTCAAGTTACCACAGTGTTTAATTATTTTTTTACAATATTTAAAAAATATATGTAAAACTTGGAATAAAAAAATCTTCGTATAACTTATATATCAAATTATCAAGACCACTGAGAAAAAAGTTGGTTGAAACTACCAGAATGTGGTAAAATTTATCGTGTTTCTAGCTCTATGAGAACATCAAAAAGCTAGGTATATTTTACCAAAGCACTTTGGTAATGATTTTGGTAAAATTAGCAGGGAAATTAGGTTTTATAATGTGTCATAATTTTTTTTAAATTTCATCATGATATCTTAGATCATGACAGAAAAGCCCTTTATTCGATTAAATTAATTTTCAGTTTTGAATTTTATACTAAATGTGTGGTGATATACTAAAAATACACTGAATATAATATATAAATATACTAAAAATATAAGAACTAAAATTATTAAAATTAGAATTTTCAGCAAACCGTTTCCATATGAATGGAGATATTACTGAATGAATGTAATGTTTTAATATCGTATATTTCAGTTTTTATTAGCACAATTGTTTTTTTTTAATCAGAAATGTCATAATCATATGATACGGTAATAACACTAGAAATTTTTTTTCTTCGTTCATGTTTTGTATATTTATCGGTTTCATCAGTTATTTATCAGTTCAATGTATATTGACGTGGTTGCAAATGCTCACCTCATTGTGCTACGAAACCGAGCATGTTCAGCATTTTTCATTTTGTCTGACATTTTTCAGACTTTACAATCAACCTTTGTGCGTTTAAGGTTATTACAAAAGTAAAAAAAATTTACTCAACCGGTTTGAGAAGAATTACGTGTATTAAATCCAGCTTTGTATGATATCCACACTACTAATATAGAAGTATGGTAAATCAGTTTAATTGAGAAATGAATGCTGAATTTTCTTACTAGCTTAAAATATCTGAGCTCATCGCAATTATCCTAAAAAGTGTTAGGCTGGCTCATTGTTAGTGTACAAATGTACAAAAATTTACTCAACCGGTTTGAGATGAGTCATGCTTATCAAATCCAGCTTTGTATGATATCCACACTCCTAATATAGAAGTATGGTAAATCAGTTTAATTGAGAAATGAATGTTGGATTTTCTAATTAGCCTAAAATATCTGAGCTCATCGCAATTATCCTAAAAAGTGTTTGACTGGCTCATTGCTACATAATGACACCTTTTTGCAAACAGTCGGTTTTTACAACTAGATATAATTAATATATTTTGTGAAACTTTTATGCGTCTCGATTATTTTTAACAAATTGAGAAAGTTATTAAATCTTCTTTACAAATATATTTATTGCCATTAAAAAATACAGCCATAAACAATTCTATAATTGCGTGTATAAATTTGACAGATTTTCAGTGTTATTTGGAAATACAGTTAATGTTGCCAGAAATTAGAAATCATTGAAAATCATTTGCACAAATATCGATAAACAATATTTCCATAAAATACAAAGCGATGATATTGTAAATTACATAAAATCTATAATATGCATGATGACATAAAATAGATATCTTCCATTATATTAATCACTACACATTATGTAACTATTGTATAAAGTTATGAAACAATCAATTGATTTTGATACCTCTTTGTTGCATTAAAAAGCAAATGTTAAATTCTAGTTCAGTATGTCAATTTTATCTACTTTTGTTAGAGATACAAAGTATAAAGAGGAACTTTTAAAACAATAAAACTTATCTAGGGAGTTCTATGCGGAAAAATCAATAAAATTTCAAGATTGATAGTAAAATTTTACGAATAATCTCTTTTTGTAGATATACAGTTTTCTACATGAATTATAGAATAAAATCTGTAACAATAATTTTATTACTAAAATGCAAGAATCTCTTTAATGATAAGCTAATAGACCTCAATAAAAACAAATTTCAGAGGTATTTGCAAAATTGAATTGCATTATAGAATATAATGTATAGATTTTTCACTATAGAATTATAATTTAAATGAATTTTTATATTTTTTTGAAGCATGATCTTTCTATAGTTTAATAACTAATACACTCGCACGCTCATAATTCGGTTTTCAAATTTAACTGGAGAGTATCCAAGGCTCTTATTAAGTCTTATAAATGTTTTAAGATATACATTGCTCAAAATTAAAAAGATCCAGAGTAACTTCTGATCTAACGACTGGATCTTCCTGCTTTAGAATTCAATCTTAATGGTTCGTGAGGGTGAGCTCAAATATGCGAATTAATTAGTTAGAGATATTTTATGTTACGCAATCAGACACAAAACGTACTTTCACTGAATACGACAGATTCGGATTTTCGACTCCTAGAATATAGGAGGCAGCCACAATCTGAGAAATATGGTCCCAATAGTTTGAATAAGAGAGTGGTCCAAAATTTGAACCCCCCCTTACGTTAATTTTACTTTTTGCGAATTTCACCCTATCTCGTGAACTTTTTAAGGTAATTGAAAAATTTTACCACTCAATTATAAAATTCGTTTATCCAAAGATAATTTCATGCAAAAAAAAGAAAAGACTTTTAGCAAATTATTATTTTTCATTATATTATTAAATAATTGTCGGAAAAGCTTGAAATGTAATGTATAACTTTTTTACACCATTTTAAAGAACACAATCTGACATGCCCGAATAAAAAATTTGAATTCAATAGATCAAATAGTTCCTAAGAAACCCAATTTTAAAAATATTTAAAATTCAGTTTCTCAGAAACTATTTAACAGATTTTTTTCAATTTCTTCACTTTGCCATGTAAAATTGCATTCTCTTAAACGATGTACAAATTTGCATGACATTCAACTCACAAATTTTATTTTGGTCACTTGTATATAATTAATTTTTTAAGCATGGAAATGTATCTAAAAATTTGTCAATTTAAATATTAGTAACCCCTTAACGATCGGTTAATTTTCAAGAAAACGATCATAAAAGTGCCATTTTTTGGCTCATGTATTTGTATTACGTATTTGATTAGTGCTGACATCTAGTTTAAAATAAACTAACTATCTACAATTACCTTAGAAATATCCTGGTACTGTCATCTGGTGTGTAAAATTCTTATTGGGGCGTTACGACTGAACACTCCAGCCCGTCAATATCACGGGAGCGAGAAATAGAGGGTGAAACCTCGCCCCGTCATTTTCACGGGAGCGAGAAGAAAGGGGTTAAAACGCATAAAAATATGTTAAGAGTTTATTTTCTTGTTCCACAGGTGATCTCTTACCCGCGGATGGTTCCATCATCCAAAGCAATGATCTAAAAGTAGATGAAAGTTCGTTAACGGGTGAATCAGATCACGTGAAGAAGGGAGAAGACTTTGACCCCATGATGCTCTCAGGTAAGACTCATCATTATCATCCCAAAAAAAATTTTTTTAACGTGTTCATTGGTTAAGCAATAATATCATAATGTGATATCATAATTATGATGTCCTTTTTTTACGCAGCAATGTGATAGCATAATTAAGATATCTGTATTTTATTCAAAAGTGGAGTAATATGATTAAGTTATCCATTGATTAAAGCAACAATACAGTGCCATAATTAGAATATCCACCGAGTTAAGAAAACATATCATAGAATGAATCAGAAATCGATTGGATTTGGTGCCATCATCTAAAGCAATGATCTGAAAGTTGATAAAAGTTCGTTAACGAGTAAATCAGATCGCATGAAGAAAAAAGTCTTAGATTCCATGTTATCAGGTAAAGTTGGTTCTTATCATCCCAAAGACAAAATAATTACCAACTTAATAAGCAATAATATCAATAACTAAGATATAAATTTTTTAAGTAACAACTCGATATCATAACTAACATATCTATTAAGTAACAATGAAATATTATAATTTAAGTATCCGTAGTGTTAAGTAGCAGTCTCCATTGAGTTAAGAAACTACATCATACAACAAACAAGAAATCTATTAGATTTATCAACAACAAACCAGATACTTTCTCTAAGCATGGGATTAAGCAACAAAATGATATCATAATTAAGAAATCCGTATAGGTTACATTAACATAGATCGTAATTAATGCATCCGTTAGGTAAGGCAACAATACAACACTATAATTAAGATATTTATTTATATAATTAGGATATCCATTGGGTTAAAAAGCAATAAAATATAATAAATAAGTCTTACATTAATAAAGTAAAGGATTCCCACAACAGCTCATTGTGTGCCAGGAGGGTGATCAGCGGCTTGATTGTGGCAATGTGGACATCACTGCACGCAGGCCATTTTCACTTCTTAGACAAACTGGTACCCATCGATCTGCAGCTGGGAGGTCTTCATGCCACCACTCGAGATTGAAACCCAGTTTTTTACAATAACACTTCAGTGCATTAACCCCTGAGTCATCCCGGCTAAGTCATACATGAGTTTAAACATTAATATGATATAATTGTTAAGATACCCATTGACTAAAATCACAATATGATAATCTAGTTAAAATATTCATTGCGTTAATTAACACTGTATGTTTTTGTGTAGGTACGCATGTGATGGAAGGGAGTGGGAAGATGGTGGTCACGGCAGTAGGGGTCAACTCCCAAGCTGGTATCATCTTTACACTGTTAGGAGCAGCCAAAGAAGAACAAGCAGCACCATCAAAGCCAAATCCTAAAGGTAGTATAGATAATATAAAGTAGTATAGATAATATAAAGTAGTATAGATAATATAAAGTAGTATAGATAGAAAGTGGCTGGGTGGCGCAGTTGGTTTGTCGTCGCCCTTCTGAGCCCATGTCTGCGGGTTTGATCCCCGGCCCAGACACTGGATTTTCGGGATGCAGAAAATCCTCAGCGACCATGTCGTATGATTATGCGACATGTAAAAGATCTCTGGAGTGCCTTATTGGCTCTTGGCATTTCCGGCAAAATTAAATTCCTAGTGCACTTTAGCATCCAAATAGAGTCTAGGCGCTGCCATCTAGTGTGGCAGAAACTAGACATCCAAATTTACATGACCAACGATATCTCACCCATTGTGGTGGTCCTGAAAGAGTGAATACCACTTCTGGAAAATGCACCAGGTCTGCTCATCGGGAAGACTGATTGTGCAGCTCATAGGAAATAAAAAAAGTATAGATTGCATCTCGCACTTTCACACAGAGAATACAATATTTTTAAATACTAAAACTATATTAAACTAATAACTGTAAACTATGATTTCATTTGTTCTGGCCCTCTTTACTAAAAGTATTTAAATAGATAAACGACTTTATATAGGTATATATATCTTACGTGGTTTTAAAACTGCTGGTATTCCTCGATCCAAGTTGACAACACTAGAGACACACATAAATACGTAAAATTTATTGTTTAATTTTAAAAGTATATAAATACGTCAAAAAGAAAACTAAACTATAGTAAGAAAGTAAATTAAACATACTAAAGACTAAACCTACTTTTCGAATCGAAACATATGTGTGCCTAGAAAATAAGTTTTTCTCTATTTCCCCCATACAAAATGCAATTATTATTACTAATTTCTTACTTTAAAATATTAAGAAGTAAAATAAATAGTATAAAAGCATAATACTAGATTACTTGATTAAAAAACTTTCTTGCCTTCAAAAACATGCAGATGCAAATAAAAGTCGACATAGTTCAAGCACTCAAAAATAGGCGCCTATTTCAAGACTTGGTAGGTATGGATAAAATGAAGCAAAAGTGATTTGAAATATGAAACTTACGTTATTGATTTAAAATCACCTTTGTTACTTCTTAATTCATGTCTGGCAAGTTTGAGAAATGGGCATCTGTTTTCAAGCGCTTGAAACTTGTTGACTTATTTCCGTTTGCATACTTTTGAAACCAATGAGGTTTTTTAATCAAGTAATATCTTACTACTTCAGTTTCTTGGGATTATTTATCTAACACTAGATTGTTTAAACATAAGCACGGCAGCATTTATTTTAGATTTGCAAAGATAAATTTAAATAGATTTGAGAGGTATAAATAGATTTCTGCTACGCTGTATCAAATACATTGGTAGCTATTTCATTGTTTGAATACTATATAAACTTCGAAATAAAGCAACTTTTCTCTCCAGTTAAATTTGGTATTGTTATATATTATAAATTTTATACCAATTGTATAATATATTTGCATATATTTATGTTATATTTGTATTTATATTGTTAATATTTGCGTAAATGTAGACTGGGCTACATTAGGCATGAGCTACTTTAGGCATGGGGTGCGATTGTTCTTGTTTGTCAGTGGCGCCATCTGTGGCCAAGAATTAGACTTCTGCCACACTCATTAGTCGCATCTGTTTATAGGACGAACCCATCCATACACTCATTCATTCATCCACAAATCGTAATTTTGACCTGAACCACAGAACGATCAATCTCCAATTCAGATATAGATGCAAATACTATAATAAATTACCATGTTAAAATTATTTCAAACTAGCCGCATGTGGTGAAAAGACGGTCGGCTTTCACGTACGTAACATTTCATGTCTACCTTGGTTAAAACGTAGTAGTTGACATTTATGTCTATTAGGCTAATCAGACCGATAATCACAGAACGTTGATAATCGGGGAACTTTGATTAACTAAATGAATCTTTTTTATTTATTTTTTTAATTATTCAATAAAAAGCACATGGACCAAATGCGAGACTTCCATCTTGGTAAAAAAGCGTTGTTTAACTTTGCTGTCAATTAGGCTAATTACGCCGATAATAACAAAATATAGCAATTAAACTTTTTTTTTTTTAAATATCTTTTAGGAAACATATTTTTTTTTTCGTTTTGGACTTTCTGAAATTTTTGTTTTAGATTTTCTCTCATTTTCATAAGGAACCGCAATCAATATAATTTCATAATAACAGCAATTAATTCACCAGTTACTACTGACAGAGGAAGGAGAGTTGACGCTTTAGCCTGAATGTTTGAAAATGATCTATAAACGTGTGATTTCAGATAACTTTAAAATACTAATTTGGTGGTGCATTGTGGTAATCCGCCAAGGCTACTGCTAGGTCTTTGTTGATTATATAGATAATCTGGAATGACGAATAAAAATTAATTAAGTATTAAAAAACTCGCAGTAAACAACTGTTTTGATTAGAGTTATAAACTTACAAACGTCGCTGTTGGTATCTTTAAAAGATTACTATATATTATTATTACTATGTACATACTATATATAGAAAACTATATATTTGCCCATAGCTTAATTTAAAACAATGGTTTCGCTGAACCAATAAGAAAACTTCGTTTTTTAAATGTCTCTAACTTAAAAGAGGAAAATCGGGTTTCGTTTCAATTTGTATTTTGCATTTTTAGTGCTTATGGCATATCCACAATACGTTGCACAGACGCACTCAGATATTTTATTTTATTATATGTGTGGATTATTAAAAATTCTGTCTTAAAATTCCGATAATAAATGAATAAAGATTGTTAAATAATTTCTTGCGTTAAATAATGAGTAATTTTTGAATGCAGCTGGAGATGGAGAAGCTAACATTCCGAATGATACTGCGCCTCATGAAGGAAAAAGAGAAGCTCCTAAAAGTAGCGCAGAGGAGAACAATCCTCATAAAGAAAAATACATTTTTGAAAAGTCTTTGATTTAAAAACATAAAAAAAAAAAAATTGAAAATCGGGCTTCGTTTCAATTGGAGTTTTGTATTTTTAGTGCTTACGGTATACCCTCTAGAGCTTACGGTATCTGTTTTAAAATTCCGATGACAAATTAATAAAGAATGTTAAAAAAAATTATAAAATAATGTTTAATAATGAGTAATTTTTGAATGCAGCTGGAGATGGAGAAGCTAACATTCCGAATGATACTGCGCCTCATGAAGGAGAAGCTGAAGCTCCTAAAAGAAGCGCAGAGGACAGCAATCCTCATAAAGAAAAATCCGTGCTGCAAGCCAAATTAACCAAGTTAGCCATTCAAATTGGATATGCAGGTATCACTTTTCTACACTTTATTTATTTTCCATATTATTTGACTTATTACCTGAGATTATCCCATTCAGTATGTTTACAGACTTATTTAATCTACTGAAATTAATTATGTTTCGGTTTTTAAGAGATTCAGCACTGCAAACTCTTTCGGAAATCCAGGAAGAAATGGCAGAACTATTCCCATTTATGATGCTTTTTATTTAATTTACGGGTAGGAAGATCTCCGGTCAGGGCCGCTTTTGCACTAGTTTAGATAACCGCACAAATTCCGTCCGTAACGCTGTCTAGGTAAATTAGCAAACACAAACTCAAAACTAATTATTCCATAAGAAAAAGAGGTTGTTAGAGAGACCAGCGTTCTATGTCACATGGTTACCTCAAAATAGAATAGGCACAAATCTATTTTATTCAATCTTTTGCTTACAGCTCTTAGCATTACAAAGCTATTCTGGTCCACTTATTGTACCAGGCGTAAGCAAAGGGTTAAATTGCATTTGGGTTGCCTAAATGCTAAGTAGACAAGTCTGATAGTTTCAAAAAATCACAGGAGACTGCAATACCACCGTTTAGCTGTACCGAGGACGCTGAGCACATAAAATTAGTTAACTCATCCGCGTCAAAGTATTAAAAATAAACCCTGGTGCTTTTGAGGTTGTTTTGAGGTAGAAAATGAGCTTTATGTTTTGCACCAAAAATAACATTATCAATAAACCTCATTTTCATTCTCATTTATACTTCATAAATTCAACCTCTTATGTAACTCAGCAATGCTTTTAGTTGAAATCGCGTGAAATGATACACACCTCATAACATACTTGTTTGCTAGAAGTGCCGAAAAAGTAACCTGCACACCTTAAAAATAAGAACTATCAGCTGGTTGCTCAAAGATAGATTTCCATCAACCTCAAGTGTGAATAAAAAAACTTCATTCACCTTGATCATAAACCTTGGGAGGCTGGTTTTTTTTAAAGTTGTTTTTGAAGTCAACTTCAATTAAACCTCAAATCAACCTTAACACCTCAAATAAACCTTAAGTTTTTGCAGGAACCGTGTAAAAGATGGTTGTGTATTGAATAGAAAAACCTGCATCAGTAGAAGTTTGATGACAATTGGCGATTGCTCTGTTTCGTTACTCAGTGAGAGTGCTATGCAGCACAGATGTCCCAAGTTTTAATTTTTTAACTGCCTCTAATCATTTCATCAATCGAAACATTGGATTTCTTGGCGATCATAGCCAACTGGCTTGCTCTTGGCAGATCTAATATGGATAACAAAACATTCTGGATGTAGTGTATCTACCACTACAAAAGTACAATTTCAGTTCACTAGTATATAAGACATGTTAACTCAATTCCATATTGGATACCTTCTCATAGTTGAAGGTTGACATTGCAGATACCTACTAACCCCACATTGGTGACCTTCGGATGTGATATGAACACGCCGATCTTGATATTAACGTCCACTTCGACTTGAACACGTCTACTTTGGATGGTCCACATTGAAAAGTTGACTTGCTACTTGTGACTGCGACATTATCCGCCTCCTCGCGCTCTTAGAACTCAGTCTCAATTAAACACAACGTCAGCCTACATACACTCGACTGCTAAAGGAAACACAGGAGTGACCACGACAGTGAATTTAATACAGCACTCACGTTCAGCACTCAAAAGTACGGTAATCTAAATACAGCTCTAACGGTTTAGCACAAAACAGAAATAAATCAACTACGGGTATCCCGTTCATCGAATTCTATCACAGAAAAAATTCTGGTGTGGGGGGGGGGAGTACTGCAGAGATGCCAACTGCTCCGGACTCGCCAAAATAATTAAAAAAAACGGTAAATAACTACAAAGTAAATTTCTCAAATATATGGCTTTTTTTGCTTGCTTTTTAAAAGGTATAGCATGACAGAGGTACTATAAAGTGGCGAATTATATAAGCTTACGAATTATTTAGAAATAGTGGTGGATAAAAATCTACTAAATTGAATTTATTAAACCAAGAATCACAATTGATAAACTACCACTTTAAAACATATATCTGCTGTCCGGAGCAAGTTGACATCTCTGGTACTGTAGTGTATCTACCACTACAAAAATACAATTCCAATTCACTAGTATAAAAGACTAGTATGTTAACTCCATTCTATGTTGGGGTACCTTTGCATAGATGAAGGTTGACATTGTAAATATCTACTAGCCCCACACTGGGACACTTAAAATCTTAAATGAATTTTTTTGTGTAGTGTTGTTTTTCTTCGTTTTTCCTAAAATTATATTGTTGTCTTTTAGGTTCGACGATCGCGGCATTAACCGTGGTAATCCTGATGATTCGTTTCGCCATCACGACATTTGTAGTGAATGAAAACACGTGGAAGGCGGAGCATTCTCAGTTGCTGGTCAAGTTCCTGATCATCGGTGTTACGGTGCTAGTAGTCGCCGTGCCCGAGGGACTTCCCCTCGCCGTCACCCTTGCCCTAGCCTACTCCGTCAAGGTAATTAACAAGCTGGAAACCATGTTTTACTAAAATAAAACATTTAAATGCTTCTGGGACTGATAATTAAATCTGAAGATTAATAAGAAATTCTTCTAGGACTGATAATTAAATCTGAAGATTAATAAGAAATCCTTCTAGGACTGATAATTAAATCTGAAAATTAATAAGAAATCCTTCTAGGACTGATAATCAAATCTGAAGATTAATAAGAAATCCTTCTAGGACTGATAATTAAATCTGATGATTAATAAGAAATCCTTCTAGGACTGAAATTAGAAAATCGATCACCATCAAATAGCGATCGAACGAGTTAGAAGAAATAGAATCGAAGAACTTGTTTCAGTTGCATAAGGGTGTAGGCGTTATATAAAACATTTAATTTTAATTTTATGGTATTTACGATAGAAAAAAAGCATCGCGTAAGTCTTCTCATTTCCATTACTTAAATATTGGCATAAAAGGATACTTTCTTGAAGAAAAAAAGAAGAATGCAATATTAAAATATGAACTTCTCAGTGTATATTTTAAATGTTGCATGGTATTTGATTGCTCATTTCATTAATAAGTTTTTTAATCTTAAAATAGAAGGTATTCTCCTAGCAGAGAAAAAGAAAAAAACTTATTCCGTGAAATTGCTTTTTTTTATCAAGTATACACAAAAGAAGAGATATTATGGAAACAAAACTCTATTTTACTAGCTTAGAAAAAAAACAACAATACTACGCGATAAGTGCTTTTTTCATGGTTTATAGTAACGAAAAGAAAAACCATTAAGGAAAAGAAATACTATTTTCTTATCTTGGGAGAAAAAACTTCATTCTGGAAAAAATAAAAAAAATAATACGCCACATACTTTTGTCATAACATTAACTGTTCATTTTGAATGTTAACAAAAATATGTTCATAAAATTTGCTATTTTCTGTTGCTACAATTTTAAATCTGACAGTGATAACAAATATGAAAAAGACAACAGTTAAAGTTAAAAGACGTTAATCACAAATTTTGTAATTATTAAAACTTAACGCATTTGGGTGATTAATGGTGCACCTTCATTGGTAGAATAGAGTAGCAGTGATGGCAAAAATAGTGATTTTTTTTTATAATTCTACTTCTTTAAAAAGCAATTTTTATCATTTTTACTCTTTTAACTGTCTCACAAACTGGTGTAACCAGCCCATTTGTATTACCTTTGTTTTTTTCCATCCTCCCCTCTTTTATCTTACACAAAAAGGTGCACCATGTGGCCTATAGATTTTAAAAAACAAACTATTTGTGATTTTATTAATGTTTTTACTTTTATGAGATAACAAATGCTTCATTCAGTGCTTAACCACTGAAGACGCGTGACTCATTACATAAAATTAGGCTTAATCACTGAAAACACGTGACTCGTTACATAAAATTAGGCTTAATCACTGAAGGCACGTGTTTCGTTACATAAAATTAAGCTTAACCATTGAAGACACGTGACTTATTAGATAAAATTAGGCTTAACCACTGAAGACACGTGACTCGTTACATAAAATCAGGTGTGGACATGTTGGTGACGCACTAGCATCTTTTCGTGCGAAATCTGCGAGAGATCTGTTCTGATTTTTTTAGCGTATGAATAGAACAAATTAGAGAAATTTTAAACAGTGATTGTCGTACTTTACGTTTTTTTTCTACACCTTAACGACACTGCAATTTGTAAGGAAATTTTTGCACGTGCTCCGTGAAGCTTAAATATCGGGGTTAGTATAAAGGGGACCGTAGTAGCACTTTGCAAATTCTCTCTTTTTATTGTATTTGTCTTACATTAACCGTAACGCTAACCTTGTTTTTACTCTCAGCTATATTGAGATTTGTAGTTAAAATTTCATGCATGATCCATAAAGCTTAAATAGCGTTAGTGATAGAGCTTGGAGAAACTTTAATGCTTTGCAAAATCTCTCTATTTGTAATCATTGCATTAGAAAATTGTATTTACCCGAAATAATATGACGATAAAACTTAGTAGGGCGAGTGTGAAAAAAAGTGTTTGACATTCACTTGGTTATTTAATGTTTTTATTTTTGTTTTTTAACTTATGAATCTCTATTTTGTCTGTCAATTCAATTTCAATTTTCCTATACCTTTTTAGAATGAATATTTTGAAATCTAAAATGTCCATTTGGATTTTTTAAGTTTCCAATTAAAGTTGTTTTCCAATTCAATTAAAATCGCAACAACCTTTTTTAACTTATAGTGCAATTTATTATTTTTATTCTCTTAACTTATTTTAACATTGAAATCATAAAATCTGTCCATTACTTCACAGAGTTCAGGTTCGAGATTGTCATTTTTCTTATAATTTAATTCATAATTTTTCCCATTTTCTTCCTACAAACGAAAAAAAAAAGAAAAAGAAAAACGAAATTTGACGCATCTTTTGGTACATTAAGGAATTTGTGGGTTAAAGGCCTACTGCAGAAGGATGTCGAAATCGCGTTCTTCAAGAAATATACAGTAACAATGAAAAAAAGAATAAAACACGAATAATTTTTTTCTTAGAAATATACTCCATTTCTAAAATATAAAAGCTGTAAATGTAAAAAGAGAAAGTATTAGTTTAAAATGTTCTAAGAGTAAAAAATGAAAGTGGAAATTTGAAATGCTCTAAGTGTTGAAAATATAAGTGGAAAATATAAGTGAACAGTTAAAGTAGTACTTTGTTGTTTTATTTATGCAATTAATTTTTTTATTAGAATGTAATTATATTTTTTTTTTTTAGAAAATGATGAAAGATAACAATCTTGTGCGGCATCTTGACGCATGTGAAACTATGGGTAACGCTACTGCCATCTGTTCCGATAAGACAGGAACTCTTACAACCAATAGGATGACAGTGGTAGAAGCTTTCATTAGTAGTGAGTACATTTGCATTATTACTTAATTTTACATGGATTTCATTTTTTCTATGTAATATATTTGTTTTGAATAAAATGAATTTTTTAATATGTATTTTTATTCTAGTTTTTTGAAAATAAAAAATAAAAAGTATTAGTACCAGTACTTTTACCCTAAAAGTACCAGTACTTTTACCCTAACAAAAAATTCTGATATATCGTAATTTTTTATAGTAATATTTATTGTATCACTGTAATTGAATATGTATTACAACGAAAATTACAGTATTAAAAACTACTTTAAGTAGTTATCGCAATTTAACTAATTTTAAAAAAATGTCAGAAAATTTTTCAGATGAAAACGTACTCTACATCCTCGACATTTCCTAGAGGCATTTACTTTTTCTTTCTGTTTTATTCGTGCATTTCTATGACTCAGACATAGTTTTAAGCGCCACGTAGTCTATATTAAAAGTTTGTACTCTTGTTTGGAGCAGTATAGTTACTCTACATTTAATTAATCAATGAAAATTTAATATTTCATCGATTATTTTAAAGTTTTTTAAAATATTTTGATGACTATCTCTATAATAATTATATTCTAATTCACATACGGATTTGTAATCTATATAACTTTTTTGACATTTTGTTGCACGAAAATATATTAAGGATTATTTATTTGTTGCATAAAAATATATTCACCAATTATATCACCTTTTTAAATAAAAGTTAAAAATTATATAGACGCTTTTAAATGAAAGATTAATATTTATTCATTTCCTATACGGTAATAGTAGGAATCAAAGAGTACACGGTTACATAGAAAAGTAATCAAAAATGTAACTTCATTGTATTTAATAAGAAAGAAAAATAAATAATGAAATATTTATGAATTTACATTCGAATAATACGTGTCATCATATTTCTTTTCTATTTCATTCTAATACCAATTGTGATCGTTTATCTTTAAGAATATCTTTATAAACAAAAGAATAACTTCTTTGTGAAAAAAAATTTCAAATGAAAAAAAATTTGAATTTAAAAGAAAAATGCATGTTAGTTGTTTATAACAAAGAAGTAAAATTCTTACGAAATATGGACAAGTGCCAAAACTAACTTTTCGAATATAAGTTTAGTTATTGTTTGTCTGACAAATTATCAGTTTTGGAAATTATAAAAATGTTTTTTATTTAACAGCTTGGTTTAACTCATTGTCAACGGAACAATTTAAATTATTTTATTTTTAGTCGTTATGGTATAATAGAAATTACTTTTCGCCACAAGGAGTTGTAATTTGTCTGCCAAATTTCCGAGAAAATGGTGGCTGTAAGCCAAGAATGACACTAATTAAATTATTTCCCACAATTAAGCGGGTTCAATTTTAAAACTATTATTTTTTTCTCTCAAAATGCTTTCTTTTTTTTTTGCGAGACAAAATTATTTTGTAGAGGTTAGAGAACAAAACTACGCATCTATTCCTTAGGATATTTAAGTTTATAAAAATTTATTTATATTTTTAACAAAGGAATCACTTACTTTAATAAAAATTGCAAAAAAAAAATTATACAAATAAAGCAGAATGTTTATATATATGCGTGCATGTACCTTACACAAATCCGTATTTATGTATCAATCCGCTAAAAATTTCAGTATATATATGTTCGGAAACACTGCGGATATAAGTATCTTCATAATATTTTTTTGACCACAGGCTTGCGCCATATCACAAAGAACTCCCAAATCAAGTATTGGGAGAAATTTGCCCTCATGGAGGACTTTTTGAGAGAATTAAGTGACATTTGCGTTACTTGGAGAGGAAAGTCCCAAAAACTTCACAGGGTTAGCCTGATGGCAAGAGGACTTTAAGCCATAATTCGTTCGTCACTGAAGATATTTTTGTCAGCACTGTGGTCGGAGCGAGCCGGGAGTGAAATTCATATCGATCAGCCGTTGTTGGGATTCGAACCCGGTTTACCTCGTTGTGAAGCGAGTGTTCTATCCCATGAGTCACCACGACTCAAGAGATTATTATATTATAATTTTTATTTTATAACCGTCGTTGAACAGTCGAACCAAATTTTGGGTTTATGACTTCTAATGTTCAACTCCGTAGCCTTGTAATTTTAAACCCAATCCAGAAGACAAGGGAACTCCTAGATCAAGTTTTGGGAGAAATTTGCCTTCGTGGAGGACTTTTTGACGGAACTAACCCTCATTTGCGTTACATGGAGAGGAAGACCATGAGAACCTCCCACGATTAGCATGACAGCAATGGGACTCTAACCAATGATCCGTCAACCACTGAGGATATTTCAAGTCAGCAAGCTGGATACGGAATTCGTATTGACCAGCCTTTGCTGGGATTCGAACCCGGTTCACCTCATTGGAAGGCAAACGCTCTATCTCCTGAGCCATCGCGACTCAAGAGATCATTATTGTAGAAAAATAGGCTTGATTTATCATACATTTAGCATAATTTACAAATATTAAATACAGAGCCGTGATAGTTCAGGGGATAGAGCTCTTGCCTCCCAATGTGAAGTCACTGATTCGAGTCACATTGATGACTGGTCGATAAAAATTCTGTCCTGGTTCACACCGACCATAATGCTGGAGTAAAATATTCTCAGTGGTAAATGAATCAAGGGTTAAAGCAGTGCCGTCTCGATATGAGAAGTTGACAGTTGCAGAGGGGGGGGCCGGTACTGACAGTGATCTTCAGCACTGACGTCAGGCATCGCAATCCATGTTTCAGCTGGTCTTGTGTTAGTTATATGCTATGTTGATCCTAGCGTGTTATAAATCATACATAAAATCGTCAAAAGTTACTTTACTTCCTGACGTGGAAGATATAGATTGTTTGTTTCAAATCATTTCCATTCATATATTCATTATTACTTTCTATTACTGATCTTTGAAAAAGAAATGTTGCATATTAAAACAATGGGGGGCTTCGTTAATTGGTATTAACTTGGATGACGAAGATAAAAAACTCTAATTTTAGAATTTCAAAATTTTTCATAAAAATGCTAAGTAATTTCTTCTGAAACTTATTTAACTGATTTAAAATGTATTTTATTTAAACAAAGAAATATAAAAAACAAATTATATATTCCTAGCTGGTTAAACTTAAAACGTAACAACTATATATATATATATATATATATATTCAAAATTTAAAAAATAATGAGAAGAAAACGATTTTCCGAAATGATTATTAAAACTTAATTTTTCTTTAAATTTATCTTTGTATCATTTTAGCAATTGCCTAAACTTATATTTAATTTAAAATTGTATTTTAGTTGAAAACAATTCTTAAGCTGTTTTCATTTAAAATTTCAGAAATGTAAAAAAAATTACAAAATATTGTAAAAATTTTAATAAAATAAGCAAACATTACTGCAACATCTCTAAATAATATTAGTTGAACTAAATCAAATGAATTTGGTTATTGTATTGAAAAGTAATTACATAAATGATAAATGCATTTTAATTTTTGCAAAATCATAAAATCAGTAGTTTTACTGTGCTAGAATGTTTTTTTTACGCTTCAGTTTTTAAATGTTAAAGTGCACATTCTCGGAGACAGAATAGGTCGTTTACTAATTTACATTTGCAGTATGAATTCATTTTCATTTTGATTTTTCTTAATGTGCCACATTCTTATTATTTTTCTATTTTGCTCAGTTTTATCGATCCAGTATGATGATCAATACATATAATCCTGTATATGATTTTTAAGTAAATTCTCATAATTAATATTATAAATTTTTGTAAAAATTTTATATAAATTTTTTTAATAATTCTATAATGTAATTATTAATTTAAAAAAGCAGATTGTGCAATTCTATGAAAAGCATATTTAAAATTGCACGTGTAAAATTTTGTTTGGGGTTATTATGCTTTTATCATTATTTTAAAGTTTTTAAGTTTTTCTTTCTGTGCATATCATTATGATTTTGTTATTTTTATTTTAAAGTGCTTAAAAATATTTTTTGTTGGAAAGTTTGGCCACACAGCCTGTGTACTATTACCTTATTTTCTTATCTATCCTCGTTTATCGGTCATTACAGTTACCGAAATAATTTTTAATCCATCTTATTTTATTATAAGTTGTCACTAAAAATTCATACCTTTACCAGTGCTCCCCTATGCACTTTAAAAAATGCGGTCCACCCTGCTCCATCCAGGTAAATGCTCCCTCATTCCCCTTTTTGAAAAAAAATAGGGTGTCATCCCCCAAAAACACTTTTCTTTTTTTTAACATTCCATTTTTAAGAAAATTTAATTAACCGTTAAAATAATAATTACGCAGAAAAATTATTCGGTTTATTCTAAGTTTTAGTATTCGGTAGGTTTAACTCTGATTGCTATTACAAATATTTAAAATGTTAGGATTATTTTCAATTGGTTAAATTTTTATAACATTCTTCTTTTTCCTCATAGCGGTATATTAATAAATTTTTTAAGTGATTTAAAAATTTTTTTAAATACAAACCTGTTTTTTTTTTCAAAACAAAAATTCACTTTCGCTGGCGTTTATTTTCTAATAATCTTCGGCATAAAATAAAGAAAACGTTTTTTAAGCTGTTGATCAAAAAATAATTTTTTATTTAGTTTACTTTCTTTTGGAAAAAAAAACTGTATCCACTGAAATTGTCTCATAGCATGCATTTAATTAATAATTATGAACAACAAATTTTCTCGCATTTAGATAATGAGTGAAAATTACTTTTTTAAATGTAGACATAAAATATATAATGACGATATTTAAAAATTGTAGTTAAAAACTATGTACAGATTTAATTACATATATATTATATCTAATTATATATATATAATATAATATAATATAATATATTTATAATAGTGTAATAGAAATAATGTTAAATTAAATTTCTAAAAAGCCTTAACTACTTGAATTCTCATATAACTGTGAAAACGTTCACTACTATTATGGCTCTACCTTAGTAAAGTGTCTAGCTACGCCTTTGTCTACTCTAGCTAGTCAGAAAGCAGAGTTGCGTTTTCTATTTCATCATCAAAGACTGAAAAACGAGTTAATAAAAATAGACTTNGTCTGTAAGCTACTTGAACATAGTTGCAGACCAGGTTCACCCATTCATGGCAACAGTTTTTCCTGCGGGGGATGGTGTTTACCAACAGGATAATGCACCATGTCATAAGGGTCGAATCGTCATGGATTGGTTCGAGGAGCATTCCAGTGATTTTCAAGTCATGTCTTGGCCCCCAAATTCACCTGAGCTTAATCCAATAGAGCATTTGTAGTCCTACTTGGAAAACCAAATTCGTGCTGCTACGCTACCTCTTCGCAATGTGAGGGAATTGCAGGACCAGCTGGTGAGCGCTTGGTACCAGATACCTCAGACTGCCTATCAGCACCTTGTGGATTCAATGCCACGGCGGGTGCTAGCAATTTTGAGGGCTAAAGGTGGTCCTACATGTTATTAGCAGGGTGGTCATAATATAATGGCTCTTCAGTGTAATTTTACAATAATAAAACTTTTAAATGTGAAAGATGAAAAGTTTATTTTGTACAATTTTAAATAGGAAACATTTCCAAGATATTTCAATTTTCATAATTATGTGACTTTTTAGCTGTAAACATTTGCTGTGCTATAATCTATTAGTAGTATTAGCAAGTTATAAAATATTAATATGTTTTTAAAGATTGATTTACTGTGCACTTTAAAAAATATCACCGCTAAATTACTATCAGTGATCTGAAAAATTTGCTCAAATCATGTGCCGTTAAAATGAATTTATGTTGAAGAGCTATCATGACATGATGAATCAAGGCAAAAATACATGTAGGGCTTAAATTTATTTTCGTGAAATATATCACTACCAACTGTAAAATTAAAGTTATGCTTGTTAAATTTACCTTATTCTTGACGTTGTCTGAGATTTGATTGTCGAATCAATGCAAATTGGTGTAGTGCTATTTTTCTAAGAATTACTGTAGTATCATATGTTCTAAGAATTATTGTAGTGCCATTTTTTGTGCTCACCGACGTATAGAGTCCGAGTTAGATGTTATTCGACGTCAGCTGGGTTTGAGTCTAGAGGTATTGTGCCCGTAGTCTGATGCTGTAATCACCATGGAAAAGGGCGAACGCCTCAGAATTGCGTTAGGAAGCTTTACACAACAACCGTATAAATAAACGATCAACTTTACTAATTTTGTTAAGTAATTAGGATTACTGAGCATTTTTTAAAAAGAACAGAGCTGCCCATAAATATTTACGACCAGCTCTCTGAACTTTAGCATTTGCTTTACATCTCTTAGCAATTTAGTTTTGTTTTTAATAAATTAAAAAATAAATAAATAAATATAAATTTAAATAATTCAGATTTAATATTTTAAACCATTTTGTTTTAATTTTTGATTTATTAACATCGAAGTTAATAGCTCTTGGAGGTTCTGAAACATTTTATTATCTCGTTTTTCTATTTAAGAATATTCTGATTAATGCATCAAAATAACTTTTATGAGAGTAATTTTCTTTAAAAGAATATAATTTGTAACTAAATGGGTCATAACAAAATATAATCTGCATGAAAACTTTGAATTTTTTTAAAACAAAACGTTTGCTACCGCAACTATTTTACCTATCATATTTCTTAAAATGAATGAATAAATAAAAAATTATGTAACTTTTGCCATTAAATTAATTAGTATAAAGAATCTTAATTGAGGTTTGCTAATTACCCTCTAGCTTTTATAATATAATTGACAACTGAAGATAAATGTTTTTTTCTGCTAAAACAAAACTAAAAACTGACTGTAAATTAATGTTTTTTTAGCCTCCTGACAATCCTGGTGAGCTGCCGAAGCAAGTAGGCAACAAGACAGAATGCGCACTCCTGGGGTTTGTGCTTGATCTGGGCAAAGACTATCAGGCTGTGCGGGACATTATGCCCGAAGAGAAACTTCACAAAGTGTACACTTTCAATTCCGTCAGAAAATCCATGAGTACTGTGATACGTCTGCCCAATGGTGGTTTCCGGATATTCACCAAAGGAGCATCAGAAATAGTTCTTCAAAAGTAAGATATCTTTAATCTGTGAAAAGATCTAAATTATCACCAGCTTATTGGAACAAATTGGGGAACTCTCTGGGGATAAACAAATGTACGCAGCATCACCCAGCACTAGAACCGTGACGAATTCTGTATATTTATTGCCATGAAGTGGGTTAAATTAAGTTATGATTATACAAGATGATTCAGCAAACCAGGGTCAGAAATATTATCGTACGCCACTAGGGGAGACGCTTTTCAGCTTGACATTTTATGTCTCTAAATGTTCTTACTTTTTCTGCTTTTTAGTAACTATTTTATTTTATAACCGGTGTTGAATAGCCGACAAAATTCTGAGTTTTCGACCAGCCACAGCTGGGTCGAATCTGGTCCCCTCATTCGGAGGCGAAAGCTCTACTCCTTGAACCATAGCGACTCTGCTGTTTTAATTAAATTTCCTTTTTGTAAAGAGTTATCCAAATTCTCTAGATAATAATCCAAATCTATTTTGGTAACCAGCAAGACAATTGTGGCCAGTTTCTAGCCTAAAGGCAGCAATAACGCTTGCTGTTGTTTCTAGTGCCACTTGCCAAGCGGCAAGCCTGCTTGGTGAAATCGAACAAATTTAAGGCAGAGTGTGCGTTTTTTGTTTCTCAGTGACGCCATCTATGGCCAAGAACTCGACTTCAGCCACACCATACGTCGCACCCGTTTATAGGGCGGACACATTCATACATCTTTTCATTCATCCACAGATCGTAATTTTGACCTGAATCAGAGAACAATCGATCTCCAATCCAGTACCCCCAGAGGTATTGATTTGTTATGGGAACATGGAGGACTTTTGCGACTCGACAGATTTAACGTGCATCAGTCACTTTACTGATGCCCGGTGGTTGAGCGGTAGCGCTTCGCGCTGTCGTGCAACAGGTCCTGGGTTCGATCCTCGAGCCGGGCAAGGTTGACTCAGCCTTTCATCTCTTCAGTGGGTCGATAAATGAGTACCAAGCATGCTTGGGAACTAAACACTGGGGGTTACGGCTCCTGCACCTAAGAGCCCAAGGTCAAGAAAACTGAGATGGGCACAGTAGGCCATGGCCCTCTATGGGCTGTCACCCCACTGAGTTTAGTTAGTCACTTTACTACACGGGGAGTCTTCGGCCGGCGGGGTTCGAACACTCAGACATGGGCCCAGCTCTATACCGAACAGGCTATCCCGGCCCCGCAATAACCTTTACCAGAATCTATCTCCAAGTTTTATCGCTTACTGTTCGGTTAAGATTAATGAGATTGATGAATTTAGATTGATGTTTTGGAAAGTTATATCCCCTTTACAGTTGTGACCAGTTATTTCTTAACTCTCAGTTCTTTTCTATATTATTACGTGACTATCAAGCTATATTTGTAACAAGAAGATGCATTCTTATATAACACCTCTCTTTAATATTAAATGCCCAATAATTCAGAAAATATGCTAAATATAATTACAAGTATACCAATTACCATATGCGAAATACAGTTAATGAATCGCAGTTTTGTTCCTATCACACATCCTTGTACTTCATAAAATGTAGAAAGATAATCGTATTTAATATCTTGATTTCAATTAATAGCAAAAAATTAACTTGTAATATGCAAACCTGAAACCAATTTCATAGCTCTTAAAATTAATGAGGCTTAATTAGCACGTTACTAAACAAACCTTAAGGAACGAATAAAACATTAAAAAAATGCTGCGAAAATTAAATGATTTGATATAGCCATTACCATAAAAATAATTGCTTCAAGTTTTAAGCGAAAAAAAATATTAACCTTAAGAAGGAAGATCAAATAAATTTCGCTACCTAATTCAGAATTTAGTTAGATTGATTTACGATTCTACGTAATATTTTCTAAGTTGTAGTAGTAATTGTGGGATTATTGAGAAAGTAATTGAACATTTCTAATCATAAACTTTAAACCTTCACTTTATTCCAGTGTGATATGATCCTATTTAAGCTAGTGTCATTTGAAAATTGTTCAATACGTTTTTAAAATAATTTTATAAGAGAGTAGAAGGGAAATATAGTCTGATCAAGCTGTTAGTGATACACGTGACTTCAGAATGTGCTGCTAAAATTTTCTTTTTTTAAAAGGATTGTTGAAGCTAAGTGATATAATTTTTTGCTATTTGATTAACCTACAACTGTCTTTAAATTGCAGATTCATTGTAGGTTTAATTGTAGGTAAATCTTTAAAATGTAGATATTGTCTTTGATGTATGTTTAAAATTCCAAATTATGTTGTTTGAATACTAGACCACAATTTATGTTATTTCTTTTAATAATCCAAAGTGACAATGGAGATTTTTGGTCAAAAAAGCAATGTGATTTTTTATGTAATCTGAAACGCAATGAAACGTGGATTACACATTTTAAATGTTTAAATTGAGAATTGAAGTTGTAATAAAGATGATAAGATGGTGTATATAAGCTTTTCAAAGAGCAATGTCAATTCATTTCATGGCATTTTGTCGATGAAGAATCGTTATTTACTTAATTCTGTCGATGAAGAATCGTTATTTACTTAAATTACTTAAAACAATATGTAATACCGAAGAATCATTACTTTTGCTTATATTATTTAAATATACATTTTTGGTTTGCGTATATAGCCACTATACTAAATTTAATTAATGGTGTTATCTGAAGTACTTTTAGACAGATTTACAACGATTGCAGCAATTATTTAAAAAAAATTAAACAGATTTTTATACAATTTATTAAATTTAAACACATTTTTTAATTTCAGGTGTACATTTATCTTTGGCGCTAATGGTCAGTTGGAAAGGTTCTCGTCTGCTGACGCGGATCGGCTGGTAACAAATGTGATCGAACCGATGGCTTGCTATGGTTTGCGCACTATCGGCATCGCCTATAAAGACTTTGTCTGCAGCGATGAAGCTCATATTAATCAAGAGAAATGCAATGGTGAACCAAATTGGGACGATGAACAGTTCATTGTCCAAAATTTAACTGCAGTTTGTATAGTGGGAATCGAAGATCCTGTAAGGCCGGAGGTAAATAGCTAACTATCAACTGTCCTCTCTCTGTGTATATATATATATATATATATATATTATTTGTGCTTTACAACTTTTGCTTTGCTTAATGATTTATGTTTTCGTTTTCAATTTTCTTGTTGCTCCTCACACTATTGTATTGATATGTTTTGCTTCGGCTATATTAATACAGTATTAGAAAGCACTATTCTTTTCGGATATAATCGTGTGAGCTGATGACGAGATTATATCTTTTCCCTATTTTATTTTATTTTCCATTTTTGTTTAAATTTTAAATTTCTTCAAATTGTATGTATGTATTTGTAGCTTATGTGCAGAAAACAAAACCTATTATTTTCTTAATTTTTTTGCTAACCGTTGTTATGGTATATACAACAAAGAGCCATTACATTATGACTACCCTCCATCTATAACTATGGGCTCACCCAGGTTTTCATGGTTTCTCGCCCAGGAGCAATGTTTTCATGGGACACATTAGGACCCGTAATCCTCACAGAACAATCCCTGACGTCTGTAAGCTACTTGAACATAGTTGCAGACCAGGTTCACCCATTCATGGCAACAATTTTTCCTGCGGGGGATGGTGCTTACCAACAGGATAATGCACCATGTCATAAGGGTCGAATCGTCGAGGAACATTCCAGTGACTTTCAAGTCATGTCTTGGCCCCCAAATTCACCTGACCTTAATCCAATAGAGCATTTGTGGTCCTACTTGGAAAACCAAATTCGTGCTGCCGGTCGTAGCAGTTTTGAGGGCTAAAGGTGGTCCTACATGTTNTATAAAGATAGATAGATATAGAAAATATATTATATAAGATATTATACATTTTTTTGCACAAATATATTAATAAATCTAATACGTCACATGCCAGACATACGTCATGGAATCACTTAAAAAATATTGAATAATTAATTTTAAAAATTTACATCATAGATCTTTTTTTGTTTTACAGTATCTTAGTCTATATCATTGCGCAATTCATTCATTAATAAAAGATATGACTTTTAAGCATGTTAAACATTCAGCAAGTAGTGTAAAGAATTTTAAGCGTTTAAAATTTTCGTTTTCGTAAAGTATTTAACAATTTTAAAGATTAGTTGTTTTTACAGTACATTGTTTTATTTTTAATTTTGTAGATCATAGATAAATAATTATTTCTTTTAATGTGTCAGATTGTTTATTTTCGAAAGAAGCATGTAAAATCGTAAAATGTATCATACCTTTTAGATTTTTCTAACTCTGTGGTCTAGCTAAAAACACAATTCAAGCTCTTGGACAAATGCTTTCTTAAAATTATCGATAACATTGATTCAAATTATATTTATCATAATCACCCACATAGAATAATTGGTGGGAGATGTGGTCCTGTGGTCATACAGTTGGTGTCCTGTGCCTTAATATATCTTCCTTAGGATTACTTTTTCTTTGCATCTTTAATAACCTAAATATAGTGAGCCGCGGTGGTTTTGTAATGGAGCAATCACTTCAGATTTTTCAAATCCCAGCGATAGTTGTCTGATTCGAATTATGCTTCTGGCTCGACTGGACCTGAGTGATACCTCAAACTATCCTCATTGGACGAAACAGTAGGAACATAAATTAGAATCCCTTTGCCATCTAGCTAATCGAGGGGCATTTTAGAGGTTTTTCTTTCCATATGTAACGCAAATGCGGTTCAGTTCCATCAAAAAGGTCTCCACAAAAGTTAGTTTGACCCAAAGTTTGTTCAAGAAGTTTTCTTGTCTCCTGGGTTGGGTTCACAAATTACAAGGGTACGGAGTTGAACATGAATTACCGTAAACCCAAAAATTGTTCGGTATATTCAATGTCGATTATAAAATTAAAAAAAAATTTATGGAAAATACTGCAGAAGTATTTAAACAATCACTTTTTAACGCAAAAATCTTACTAAAACATTTGCATTATGATACACAATGCAACATTCGTTTTATAACAAATAATTTAACAATTGGATTCTGATTAAAAAAAAGCAATAACAGCAATGTAACGAATAATGTACCAATTTTATTTCAACAATAATAATGTAAGGGGTAATGAAGCAATTTTAACCCAACACATTGCAACAAATGTAGCAATTTGTATACAACAATTGCAGTGTATTAAAATCGCAAAATAAAAATAATGTAGAATCGTTAATACAAGTATTGTTTTGTAACAAGCAATGCAAAAATTTTAATGTAACAATCACTTTGTGACAAACAGTGTAACAATCTTAGGGCAACATTTGCTTTATTACTAAAAATGCAGCAATCTCTTAGTAACAACGATGAAGCAATTTTAATACAAGTAACAAGTTAACAATTTTAATGCTAATAACAAATAATGCAGCAGTGCTAATGCGACAACAGCAATGTAACGAATAATGTACCAATTTTATTTCAACAATAATAATGCAAGGGGTAATGAAGCAATCTTAATCCAACACATTGTAACAAATGTAGCAATTTTTATACAACAATTGCAGTGTATTAAAATCGCAAAATAAAAATAATGTAGAATCGTTAATACAAGTATTGTTCTGTAACAAGCAATGCAAAAATTTTAATGTAACAATCACTTTATGACAAACAACCTTAAGGCAACATTTGCTTTATTACTAAAAAAGCAACAATCTCTTAGTAACAACGATGAAGCAATTTTAATACTACACGCTAGTAACAAATAATGTAGCAGTGCTAATGTGACAATCACAATTTTAAGAAACTATGCAGAATTTTTACTACATCATTTACATTATAGAAAGCAGATTTTAATGCAGCAAGCAATATAACAATCTTAATGCAATCTACTTTAACTAACATAATAGCAATACAACAATCACATTATAACAAAAATTTTAATGCAAGAATTGTGTCAAAAATATTAATGCTAATGATTGCAAATAAATCGATGTATATTTTTTGTCACACTATAGATCTCGAAAAATATGTTGACGCTATAAAAAATTCTTTAGGTACCGGAAGCCATCAAACAATGTCAAAAAGCGGGTATTACTGTTCGAATGGTGACGGGTGATAACATCAATACTGCCCGATCCATTAGCCAAAAATGCGGCATCATCAGGCCACAGGATGACTTCCTTGTTTTAGAAGGAAAAGAATTCAACGCTAGAATACGAGATGCCAACGGAGAAGTATGTCTATCTTTACTTTGTTAAAAAAATAATGTTAATAAATTATGTTATGCTTATAATGCAAAAATTTACTCCAAATAATAGTTGCGCACTGTTAAAAATTTCTGGGAAAAAATGGTTAAATAACAATTTATTGAATGGTTATTTCACCATATTTAATTAAAACAGTCAAATAACCATGAATAAAATGGTAATCAAACTGTTAAGTTTGAGAATAATTGTTTATTAACTGCTTTCACCTAGTACGGTTAAACAACCAGAATTTTATCGCACGAACTAGAACCACCTAATAAAGCTACTTAGTTCTTTGCAACTGCGTACATGTCACAGCCGAGCGGGCTTATCTGTCAATATCATGACCGGTAGAACTGGAGTTCGAATCCTAGTGTTGACACCACAATATTTCCTCTTTTCTCTTCAACACACGAAGAATTTCTAGTGTCCGTCACTCACCAATGCCCATTACCTTACGAGAGACCGAGCTCCTATGTCTTGCTAAATAGTTTTTTTTTTCTTTACATTTTTGAAAAATGCTAGTTGTAAATTATTAAAAAACCGTATAGTCTTGTATTCATGGTTTTATTACCATACGTTTTGCAAATGGTTTCAAAACCATAAAGGAAAAAAAATATTCTTTACCGTAGACATTACGGTTAATCGGATGGACAGACAGCTACCAGTTATTTTACCATAATTTTAGAATGAAAATTTTAACAGTGTGCGTTTACTCCAAATCCAATTTATTCCAACGAAAGAAGTTAAGAACGTTCTTCGTAATACGAAAATGATTCGCACTATAGATAACTTTATTTTATATTACATGTGCGTTTCTCTGCTTTTTAATCACTTGTACTGTAAAAATTCCGGATCAAATTACTGTAAAAAGTACGGGCTTCTGAATGCAGCATCCGTCAAAGCCCTTGTACCGTAAAGCTTTATACAATAACTTTTAGAGTAATATATATTTAATTTCTATAATTTTACAGTAATCAATGACCAATAATTTTACAGTAATTATTACTGTAATAATTACAATACATCGGGCTTTTCGTTTCGTAAAATTTTACCGTAAAAAATGCTTATACCCTGAGTGCCAATTTTTACTATAATTTGATCCAGATTTTTTAACAGAGTGCTTTTAAAGAAACTCATGATGAAATAAAAAATATTGCATGCTTTAAGAAATGTCAAAGAAAAGAAATCGCATTAAAAAAACCGTATTATAAAAATACTTGTAACGTGTACTGTGAAACCATAATTTCGTTGAAATTAGTTACAATCTTGAAACAAGTTGAGCAATATTGGTCATTTTGAACTTAATTACTCGATATTGAGCATTAATTTGAAATGCAACCATGTTTCATTTAATACCTTATTGCAGCGAATTACTGTTTGAGGTACCGGTATTACGGTTTAACTTAGATACAAATTTTCTTAGGGTTAAATGATAACGTATTTTTTGCGATTGACATATAAACTATAAATACAAATAAATTTAGCTGTTTAAAATCAATAATGTCGTTGAAAATTAAACATGCACGAGAAATTTAAAATTTAAAAAAAAAAGAAAGTTGATAGTTGAAGATTAAAAATTTAAAAAAATAATTCAAAAGATGATTACAATATTACATATATTTTTTCAAACAGCAGAAAACCATGAGTTCGCGATTCTTTTGAAACAGGGATTATTATCTTGAAAGAACTAATCTTTCTGCATACTTCAGAGCTTATTTTGCTTTAATTAGAATAAACCGTTAACTGAACGCAAACGAATAACCGAACTTTTGACAATGAACACAATTTAAAAGTCATACTCACGAGTTTTCAGTCATGTAAATTAAAATATTTTAAAAACAAGGATGTACGATTATACTCTTTACGCTTTAATAGCTTGAACGTAATAGTTCATATAAAATCATTCATAAAAAATGACTTTGGAAATCACTTACTGTATCATCAAATTCCAGGAATCAAAGTTAGCTTTTCGATATTGTTAATGGTTGGGGATACAAGAAAAATTAACAGTTAGAACGAAAATTTACTTAGTTTACACTGTTATAAGGCATAAGAGATGCGTGACTGTAAGCGTTATTTGTAAATTTGAGTATCAACAAAACGTAGAAAGTAGTTTTGATCATACTACACTGCTTTTCACAGTTATATCAATTTTATAATTATTGCAATCGTGGGCAGTGAAGCCTCACGAGAACTACAACCACTGAGCGTCATAAAAATTCAAATGTATCCTCAGATTTATTTGTATTTGTGAATTTCATGGAAGAGTTTGATGGTAGGTCATAATTCGAAGCCTTATTCGTTCCTTTTAATTGAATAATGTCTCCTTGATCAAGTAACTTAAAAACTGTAGTTTCCCTTAAATCTCTAAATGCATTTTAAGCAAAAAAATTATATTTTTAAGAGAATCTCAGTTTTCAATCAATTCTGTTCAAACTGTGTAAAAAAGTTTCTTAATTTATTTTTAACCAGTAATGATTTATACCATTGCTTAGGACTCAAATAATTATTTTTTTTTTCATTTACCAGATATTTTTTGTTTGGGTTAAAGATATAAAGATATTTCCTTATCAAAATTTCATGAATTTCTTTTAAAATATCTTAAAATTGAGAGACATATTACTTCGTTAACATTTAGTAGCATAATATTTATTCAATTACAAAAAATAACCAAAAAATTTTTGATGATATCTTCTTTTCTAACATAGCAGCATATAATATTACTCATACATTTCAATGAAATTGCTTTAAAAAAGTCAATTTGATCATGAAAATACGGTTCCCAGTAAAACGCGGAAGCCAAGTCTCACTTTCAGTGGTCATTGAGCGGGTGGGTGGTTATTTTGATCAGCATGCAAATCGACCGAGGGTGCAGGGAGTCAGTCTTCGCTTAAGTGCTCAAACGTAAAATGCTTGACTACCAAAGGGGGGAAGCTATACCCTGTGTGGAGGATTAAAACTGCGATGGCATATCTTTGGTATATCCTCAGAGATGTTTTCGAGACTGACTCCAAGCCTTATGGTTGCACGTAAATAAGGAACTACCACTACTCTTCGAGATTATAACAATCGAAATAATATTGAAAAAGCCTTAATTTTATTAAATTCGTAAATATTTAGCATTGATAGGTAATTTTCTGTGTTTACTTTGCAGGTACAACAAAATCTATTAGATAAAGTGTGGCCTCGTCTTCGAGTCTTGGCTCGAAGTTCTCCAACTGATAAGTACACACTGGTGAAAGGTATTATTGACAGCAAACTTCACGCCAACAGGGAAGTTGTAGCAGTCACCGGTGATGGTACAAACGATGGACCTGCATTGAAAAAGGCGGATGTTGGGTTCGCTATGGTAAACAAAGACACTTTCATGTTTCAATATGTATAGCATTCCTCTTTATTTTAGTTTGAATGAAAACTACGTTGCAGTTTACAAATGGAAAAAAAAATTTCAACATCTCTAAATATTTCTTATGAGTCTAGTACAGGGATGGGCGAACTTTTTTGGTCGAGGGCAAAATATCGAGAAAAAAAAAGTTTGGTGGGCCGAGTAGATACTTCTTAAGAAAAAACCGTATACAAGTTTTAATTTAAATATTTATTGAAATTGCGATTTCATTTTTAAAAGTTCCTTATATTGAGGTTCGAAGTGAGATGTGCTTATTTTAAGAAACGAGGCTAAATGCTTGTCTGTTAGTCTACTTCTGAAGGGATTTTTTATAAGGTTTATAATTGAAAACACTTGTTCACATATATAAGATGAAGCAAGCATAGTCCTGATTTTCTGGGTTTCGCAATGACATGATATGTGTGCAATCTTTCCATACGCAATAGATAATGTTACAACTCGGGCCGGCAGAAAAATCTGCTCCTTCGAGCTTAAAATTTCGTGGTCTACCACATGTTAATATATTAGTTTCCATATGTGTGCTCCTCGAGAAAGACAAACGCTTGTTGGAGCCAATCTACGGCTATTCTATAAAGAACTTCGGCTTTCAACATTTTATATTGAAGCCATCCATGTTGTACTATTTCCATCAATTTATATTTTGTAGAACAAAAATAGGGAAAGTAAAAAGGTCATCAGTAGCTTTAAACATAGTAGACAAGAAAATGGATGTATAATGCATCTTGTTTATATTCACCACGGATCGGCAAGTTAAAATTCTATCCGCGGGCCGGATAAAACCTTCCGACGGGCCATAGTTGGCCCGCGGGCCGTAGTTTACCCATCCCTGGTCTAGTACTTAAAAAGTAACATGACAGAAGAAGGGTACCTAATGATAATCTGGAAATGCTTAAAATTTTAGGGTTAAAATGTGCCATGGTTGGCTGTTACTTTAAAAAACCAATGTTTAAGTAAGGGAGTTTTTAAAAGTAAAAATTTGTTTTGCAAGCAGCCTTTTAGATATTCACTATAAGATATTAGATATTCACTTAAAGTTGATGTTCTAAAATTCACTAAATGTCACTTTATAATTATTTCCATTAATTCAATCAAAGCTTTGCTGAATTTCTCATCATAGCTTTTTAAAAGTTAATCTAAATCAAAGAGTTTACTTTCTACTGCTTATTAAATAAGAATAATCCAGAAAATGTCCACCAGATACGCTGAAGAGCATAGTTATAAAAATCCTAGATTCATTTAAAGTTTATTCAAGCCGATTGACAATTTACAATCAAATTTATTAATAAATTGTTCAAAAGCATTAGAATTATTATTGCATTGTATGCTTGTTTTTTGAGATTAGAGTTTTTAACAAAATGCAAATTTATGAAAATTAATAAATAAAAAATGGATAATTACAATCAGTGCTTTCCCACATTGCCTTTGTCAATGATTTTGCGACTTTGTCAAGTATAGAATTCCCTATATTTATAAAAATTATCAATTAAATCTTAAAATTCTGAAAAGCATTCTACCATATAACTTGAAGATAGAATGAATTCATACCTTTCTTCGGCTGTTTATTTCCGTTGGTTACTTTCAAGTTGTATCGAGGGTGTCCCGTAGTTGAGCAATGCCTAGAAAATTCATAAAATGAAAAACGGAAGTCGATTGAAGTCTTACATTAGCTGCATTCTGCTGAAAAAAAACTAGATCATTTGTTTTTTCTCAACAGATGGCTCTGTTGACTGCTTAAGTCCTGAAACAATGATTTCAATATAAGCAATATTTCGTCACTTTGAAACTAAACCGTAGTAACTCAAAAAAATCGAAAAATTTGATATTTGGGTCATTTTGTGTCAGAAAAAATCATCCTTTTAGGAAACAACGTGTTATCTTCATAGTTCCATAAAATTAATTTAGAGAGCAGATAAATCATTATCGCATTGGCGTGATTCGCCATCTTAGTTTTAGGGAATAGTGTAGCAGTGTGCCAGTTGAACAAAACCTTGGAACGTCGCTTTGAAACTAAACAATAGTAACTCAAAAAAGCAAGTTTTTCAGGAGAGCGATTTTTTTCCTGCACTGTTGTATGTCAAAATTTGAATGAAATATGTAATATTCGGGAGGATATTTTGAAGAACATCGTTATATTTTGAAATAACTCTCCACTTTTAATAAAAGTTTTAGAGAAAAGTGTTGCAACTCAAAGTACCTTAACTTATTTCGAAATTACCACAAAATTAGAAAAGCTGCAAGAATCTGGCCTGGTTCATTGAAAAATGTAAAGAAACAGGGTTTTTTTAATGTAAACTATTTTGTAATAGTCGCCATAGCTTTGAGTCAACCTGCGGTGGAAGTTCCTGAAAAGTTAGAAATCGCTCTCCCGAGAAACTTGCTTTTTTTAGTTGCCACGGTTTAGTTTCAAAGCGACGACTTGCAGAACCAAAGTGGTACTTGCCAGAGAACAAAATTTGTAAGACGAATGTGCAAATTTTCAGTTGGATTTATGAGATATCCAGCATTGTATTCTTTTTGTATAATGTTGCATTTTTTTATCCGTCAATAGCGCCATCAGTTGAATGACTTAGTAATTTCAATTATTGGTGAGAATAAAAGTCCGCGTTTAATTAGTAAAACAATTAAGAAAACCAGGTTTTCTTCAATTGATTTCTTAAATTTTTTACTTGCTTTTAAGACAACCAGTGACTGTGTCCCCTGCCATTATGTATATTTTGTTGGGTTTTCTTTTTAAAAATGCACAAGGTTATTTATAAAATTTTTGATAGCTGAGCATTTAGCACTTTTGGCTGTTTTTTACAGGGTATTGCAGGAACAGATGTCGCCAAAGAAGCCTCCGATATCATTTTAACAGATGACAATTTTACAAGTATAGTTAAAGCTGTGATGTGGGGGAGGAATGTTTATGATAGTATAGCCAAATTTCTTCAATTTCAACTCACTGTCAATGTAGTCGCCGTCATCGTAGCCTTTGTGGGGGCATGTGCTATAGAAGTAAGATTTTCTTCTTATTAAAAATTTACATTTTTTGTTATTAAAAATTTCAATTCTGATAATTGACAAGAGAAATTTGCAATTAACTCATCATAGTAATCAGAGTGCAGGGTATAAATTACTGTTTTTAATATTAACCCTTTGCTTACGGTACTTAGTATGATGAAACCGGAGATTCCGGCTCACTTGTTGTACCAACCGAAAAGCAAAATATTTAATAGGTATTTTAAATAAGTAATGTAAGTTGGAAAACTCGAAGAATTTTTAAAATGGCAAATATTTCTTAATTTTTTATTATAAAAATAACAATATTATAAAAATAAACATAACTATAAGTTCCATTATTTCAGAACTTCTGAACTTAGATAACGAAAAATAATCAAATCCCTTAATTGCCATATGAAAAAAAATTTATGTATTTAGAGCCTTAGGACAAGTGCTGTAGAATTTGGTGTGGGAGCATATCACTTAAACCGAGTTAAGACAAATAATATGCGCAGTTTATAATTAAGCCAGTACTATAGATGTGGTACATCAAAACTGTAGTAATTTATTGAATAGGACTCATATCTTATCTAAATGCCATTAAAAATATGCTCACAGTTTCTGATAGCATTAAAAATATCATCGCGGTAAAAATCCTTTATTCTCTATTCAGAAATGTTAACTATTGAAAGAAGGAATATTTGAAAAATAAAACAATTATTACATTTTTGCAAGGATTTAAAAATATTGGATTAATACATATGCTCGATACATATGGATAATACATATGACGTTACTCAGTTAAATTTTCTAAGTAATTATTTGTTTCTAAGAAATCCATAGTGTTACAAAAGTTTTAACCCCTTCCTTCTCGCTCCCTTGAAAATGACGGGCTGAGGTTTCGCACTCTATTTCTCGCTCCCGTGAAATTTCCGGCTGGAGTGTTCAGGAATAAAGCGCCAATAAGAATAAAACTAATTCATTTAGGAAAACATTTTACTTCTCATTTTGCACACCAGATGGTAGCACCAGGATATTTTTAAGGTGATTGTAGATAGTTAGTTTATTTTAAACTAGATATCAGCACTAATCAAATATGTGTATTTGACAAAATATGCACTTTTATGACCGTTTTCTTGAAAATTAACCGATCGTTAAAGGGTTAAGGGTAAGACTAACTGACCTTTCTTTCTTTTACAGGACAGTCCACTGAAAGCAGTTCAAATGTTATGGGTAAATCTCATCATGGATACGTTAGCGTCTTTAGCGTTAGCGACAGAGATGCCTACCTCAGCCCTATTACTGAGGAAGCCTTATGGTCGAACGAAACCTCTCATTTCCAGAACCATGATGAAGAACATCATTGGGCATGCCATATATCAACTTATAATCGTTTTCACATTACTTTTCGTAGGTGAGGAGGTATTTCTAAAATTAAAAATTGTATTTGGTCTTTTCGATCATTTTGCATTCATTGAACTTGCTTATAACGAGCGTGAAGGAACCACAATATTTGCTCGTCAAACGGATTGCTTGCTAAGAAAAGATTCGTGAAAAAATATCAAAAAAATTCACACTTACTTGTTATAAATATAGTAAGTTATTTATTATTTATTTCTGAGCAGAAGAAAAGAATGAACTATCTTAAGACTCATAACTTGAAAAACGTCATTTGCGCCCCTGCTTTAAAACAAATACATATATTTGCTGTATTTATATTTCATCAGTAGCTTCAGTCAATGTTTTCGGAACATTAAGGAATTAGTTGAGCTGGAAAAGTGAAAATTCGTACAGAATTTTATGTATCGCATAATTTGTGCTCGCTAAAAATAGGTTTTGCTCGTTAAAAGCGAGGTATAGACTTAACATTGCACCAATTGTTTCGAATTTTTTCGTTAAGTCCGGATTCTTGTAAAATCATAAACAAGTTTAAAATGAATTTCTGATTGGAAGAAGTTACAAAAAAATCGCAAAGAGTTCTTCTTTATTTTTATATGTATGGTCTTAACGTAGCATTGTTTGGCCAAAAAATTGCATCTTAAAAATTTTGAGTTCATATTTTTTGACATATACCGGTATTTCTGAAAGAATCGTCGCTCATTTTTATCAAGTTTCATCTTTATTAAGTTTCAAACGAGTTTCTCATTGCAAAAAATTACGAAAAATTCGCAATGAGAAATTCATTTGAAGCTTTTTTTCAGATTAGCAAGTAAGCGTCAAATTTTTCTTAATATCACAGAAGTGAAAACATAAATACTAAAAATTTTATAAGAAGCATTTTCTTAGTTCCAAACCATGCTACGTAAAGAGCCATCCCTACTATAGTTGTTTTTCGAAGTCTCCATCGTAGTATGAAATGATGCTTTTTTACGAGTAATATGCCATTTTTATAACTGTTGTGAGTTTGCAACTGTTACTTATGACTGTTAGGTCAAGTTTATCTTATCTAATGCCAGCACTGTCTACACTTACTTTGAAAATGGCACAAAACGTCGATATGGAGCAAAGTCACAGTTTTGTGAAAATGAAAAGCGTTTGTGGTCTAATTTTTTCATTATTTAAAAACTTACTCCAATGCTGCACCACCTGGGCTCTTAAAAATTTGCGAAAACTGAGAACATGGCAGTGATTTTGACAATTTTCATCTAGGTGGAAAAGTTTCACCAAATTGGCGATTTTTAAAAAAGTTAAATGAGTTTAAAATCATTAAATTTTTCGTCTGATATAAAGCCCAAATAATTCTTCGCGGCAAGATTATATATATAGTTTAAAATCATCGCAATGCTTCAAGTGTCAGTCAATTAATTTATGGCTTTATTTTCCTTGGTGACATATCTTTGAAAAACAGTGCTAAGAGCTTATCAGTGGGGTTGAACTCGCATCCATACTGAGGAAGTGGAATGTAGTGCTCATCTCATGGACGTGGTGATCGATCCGAAGTGGGGTGAAGCACTCATCCCATAACACTTCTTAGTAAGAGAGGTCATCAACCCTAAAAGTGGGGTGTAGCACTCATTTTACCCCTACTCATGCGTGTATCCTCATCATAAATTGTTATTCAGTTGAAAATATTATTGAATATTTTTTTACTTTATTTCTATGCCGTATGTTTAGTTGCATATGTTCTTGATAGCATTGACAGAGTTGTATGCTGCTTGTTTAGCGCATCTTACCTCAATAAATAAGGTTATATCATTCTGCACAAAAGTTGCACCTTAATCTAAATAATGTCTGTGTCGATCAAATTCACGATTCTCTACTTTTATGTTGTATAGTTTCTAGTAAAAAAAATAGGGGTGTATTTCTAGTTTTTTTTCTCCAAAAGTACGTTGATTTAATATTAAATTAATACTTCGTTTAAATTGTATGATTACTGTTTCACATTTTCCTACACCAGCATTCGAATTTACTGAAATTAAAATGAGATCACTTTATTTTGAGGAACAACGAACAGCACATAATAAGAACATGAAGGGACTTGAAATGGTATTGCAAAATCTTCCTATTTATTCAAGATGCCAAATTTAACCAATGCCGTTTCGATTAACTAGTGAAATTGCTTTTCACCCATTTTAAAGTATCATTTTTCACAAATTTTAAAAATGCCGATATCTTTTGATGCAGCATTATTTCAAATCTCTTATTACTGAATGATAATAATTGAATTCCGACTTTCAAAAAAGCTATAAAAAAGTTTCGTTTGTCGGAATAACTTAAAATTTGATCCGAGTATTTACAAGGAAAAAACAGCAGTATAAGAAGAAAAATAGTTACTAATTTTGCAAATCAAGGGGCTCTTTACCAATCAGAACTTCAAATAGTTTACCTTTGCATTTGCAGCTATAACTGGTAAATTGTCAGTGATATTTGGTTCCAGAGAAATAAAATGAAAAAGCCACAATGTAATAGATTTTTAATTGTAAGAATGTTAGAAGCCAATTAAAAAAATCAACATCCAAAATAGTATAAAACAGTTGTTAAACTTCCTTAAGAAAACTATTTGCTGACCAACGTTTGTGTATAACAAGTTAAAAACGCGAAACAGTATAATTCAGAACAGTTTATCAAAAGTTACATTCCGAGCAAATTGCTCAATGCGTGCCTTTAGGACATTCAATTTCACTAAAATCACTATTGGATCAATAAACAAAACACTTTCTCCTTCTGATCCCATTGTCAAAAGGTACATAAGGTAGTTTTATCGGTCAGGCTCTTAGGAAATGGTGACAGGTACCGAATGCATTTTAAATAGTTTTATTTATTTATCAATTATATTTTTATATATTGTATCTGTTGCTTATTATATTGAGTATAACACCCTCTATCAGTAACATTTCGAACTGCTTTTTGAATTGCTATATCTTTCACCTAAAGTCAAACCCTCAAAGCCAAATTTCAGGTTATTCTGACAAGTAGATTTTTACAGTTTTTAGAAAATTGAACTTTCATGTTAATCTGTTTATGTCGCAGTTATTGATGATTTATTTATTTCAGGGCACCAAATCTTCGACATCGACTCAGGCATGTACGCGCCTTTACATTCTCCGCCTTCCCAGCATTTCACCATCATTTTCAACACTTTCGTCATGATGACCCTCTTTAACGAGATAAACGCCCGAAAAATTCACGGAGAAAGGAACATCTTTGAGGGCCTTCTCACAAACCCCGTTTTTTACAGCATACTTGTAGTCACAGCTGCCTCACAGGTAATCACACTCAACTAGAACAATTCTTGATTTTAAAATGATATCGTAATGCGGTACTTTTTATTGTAATTTTACCATAATTTCATAATGCGGTACTTTTTATCATAATTTTACCATAATACCGTAACACGGTACTTTTTACCGAAATTTTACCGTAATACGGTTCTTTTACGGAAGTTTTTTCATAATACCATAATACGGTGCTTTCTATTATAATTTTACCATAATAACCCGTTTCTTACAGCATACTTGTAGTCACAGCTGCCTCACAGGTAATGACACTCAACTAGAACAATGTTAAAAATTCCTGATTTTAAAATGATATCGTAATGCGGTACTTTTTATAGTAATTTTACCATAATATCATAATGCGGTACTTTTTTATCCTAATTTTACCATAATACCGAAACACGGTACTTTTTACTGAAATTTCCCCGTAATACGGTTCTTTTACGGAAGTTTTATCATAATACCATAATACGGGGCTTTTTATTGTAATTTTACCATAATACCACAACAGGTACTTTTTACAATAATTTTACCATAATACCGTAGTACAGTATTTTTTACCGTAAAATCTATTTGTACCGGGACATTTTACAGAGCAAAAAAGCTGTTATACCGTAGTTTTTACAATGATAATTACCGTAAAATCAGTGAATCACACTAACTAACTGAATAGCACTGTAAAAATTACGTTATAATAATTCACGGTAAAAATGAATTTTGCGGTAAAATAGATTTTATGGATGATGCACCCAAAGTGCTGGTACTTTATACCGTAATTTGATCTGGAATGTTTTTACATAGCATGATTTTATTTAAGCTTAGGCTGTCTGTTTTACTCATAGCAAAAATACCAAATGTTGATGCATTATAGGCAATGAAATAAATATGACTAGTTCTGTATCAATTTCTTCCCTTTCTAAAAACTGCTTTTAATATGTTATATCCAGACAGTTTTGCTTGCATATAAATGTCTTTGTAGAAACAATACCTTAAGTTACGTTCGGAACTAAATTTAAAACTAATAAAATTCAAGAAATTTATTCAAAAACAGTTAAATAAATATAACATAAAAACCTTTTAAGACATACCATATAGTTACTAATTCAAAGATTCTTAAATATCCTCTGCGTCGGTATCAATAACTTTAATAGTTCCCACACAAAGATCTCATTTTGCAATTGCTTCAACATCCTCCTCCATTGCTGCTTCCCACAGAAAATAGTCTTCACTCCCATTCAAAAACTCTCTCTCGAATTCGAAATTCCACATTTTTTAAGAGATTTAACTATTACATTTAAATGTACACTTTGCCACGTGTTAAGTAACGTTTGACTGATGACGTAGATAAAGCATTAATTATTGCCTCTTTGAAGGGGCACCTGAGGGCAAAGGTATGATATCTAAGAAAACAATGTGAGGTATCATTTACGTGAGAAAAATCGGGTAAAAATAATAGTTTTGCTTTTTACATTCTTTAATTTTAGAAATTTTCACGTTTGGATTTTTCAGCGGTTGACTTACACACCTGTCACACCAGAAATTTTCTCGTAATCAAGCATAAGGAATATATATATATATATATATAT